AGAACAGAGGTTCCCAAACTGTGGGGCGCGCCCCCTAGGGGGGGGCGCCGTGTCATTGCAGGGGGGGCAGAAGAAAAAAGTTTGGGAACCACTGATCTAGAAGATTGGCATCCAAAATACTCTGAGGATTTGGGAAGAACATTTACAGCATTAATCAAAACATGGTAATGAGAAGCAAAAAGGCAGGTTGAACTTGACTGAAAATTGCCAATAATTACCTCGTATCAGTAACAGCATTCTTCAGATAAGAGAATTTGAGATCAACATAAAATAGAAGTGATGGGGAAGGAGTTGAATGGAATTGGGAGTCACAATTTTCAAAAGCATTTGGTGTTTATTTTTGATCTGAGAGAAGAAAGCGGCAGCTGGATGATTTCTGAAGCGTACAGGGATAAACTGTCTGCTCACATTCAACCAAATTCAGCAAAGCAGGTTGGGTAGAGTACAAACAGACAAAAATCAAAAGCATTATGGGAGTTTCTGGATCTAAAAAGGATGTCAATATTCACTAGACAGTAGCGGGGGAATCTCAAGAGAACCCCGCTGCTTATTTCTACCTGAAGACGAAATTAAATGCGAAAAGACACATAAAATAGTTCCTGCTTTTTTCTCTTAGAAATAAATAAAGGAAGAAGGTAAAGTTAACCAGTTTGACATACTGGGACTTGCAGAGTCTGGTTTATTTAAAATTTTAATCTGAACTATTTTTATTCTGCTTTGATACATACTTTTAAAAGCTCTGTTGTGTTGTTCATAATTCAGAATTGCTGGACTTTTCTTATGAACAGAACTGCCACCCTACTGGAGAATACTCTTATAAATAAATTCAACAAAAAAAGGCGTGGATTCTGGGATGGCACATGATGCACTGTAAATAATTTTGCTTTACCTTTTGGCTCACATTGACTCAAATCTAATACTTAAGGATTCAACCAAAACATGTTATTGTCTTTGGATGGTTTATGGGATCTAAGCAGAGAATGTGTTCTGGTGTTGTTAACCATTTTATGGTTAATCGATCCTACTCCTTTCTCCTTCTCATAAGTCTGCTTGCCTTCAATTAACTGAAAACACATGTTATAAACTGCTACTAAGTTTTGCCTACCTTTCTGTCAAATAATTTTCAGCTTGATTCCAGTGCCAGAGGCTCCAACCCCAATGCATCAAAGACATCTCACTATTTTCTATGCCTTCCAGGAAAGGAATGACAGGCACCATTTTTAAAGTCTTGTAAGCCTTCATGTAGCACGTCTTCCCTGCCGAATCACTTGTCTCCTCCTTACCTGCAGCATGAATAAAAAACATGGGTTTCTGAATTTAAAAGTTGAGCAGCGGCGAAGAACCTTTTGGTTCTGATTTCAAAATCAAAAACCCATGTGGTTGATTTTACCCTGACAAGAGAACACATTCATTTCATTCATACCAGACAGGTTTTGCTTGTGGTGAAAAGAGAATCTGACACAAAGACTGAGATGAAGTCATTATGCAGAAAAGGATTCTGCACGCGTGGGTGGGCACATGGAGGGGTTTCTGTGAGAAAAGATGGAACAGATGGGAAGACAGGAGGGCTTTTCCTTATCAATGCCTGTTATGATCATGATCAAAACAAGGCACTATCAAAAGATGTAAAACCAGGGCGAAGCAGTTGAATTAAACAAGCCACAAAACAAGTGTTTTCTAATAATGAACATCACACCTCCGACTGTGAAATCTGATAGGTGTCTCACTCTATTTATCTTATTTTAAGCCATATTCAGTTTTCCCACTAAGGTCCAGGCCTGCTTCAAAGTCCTCATCAGATGCCAGTCTCCTCTCCTGGAAGTTCCCCTCCTTCCTCCGTCTCTCCACTTTCTTTTTCGCCTCCGTCTCGACTGCTTTCGTCAGGGCTTGAGCGTTGGTCTTTTGGCCCACGCACATCAACCTCTGTCTGGCTCGATATTTGCTGGATGGAGAATGAGAAAGCAGCACATCGTGACTCGTTAAACCCTGCTTTGCTGGCAGCCTAAGTGAGGAAATATGATAAATTTGCCGCCAGCAGAATGAAACTGGTAACTTAATTCTGGACAACCGAGTCAATCGATAAGTGTGCATTGTTTTATTGCGACATTATGCAACCCTGTACAAGATATAGCATAGTTTTTTTTTTACTGTAGAATGTGATTCTGAAACTTGTTAAATAGTGCCCTGGTTTTGGTAAAACACAACAATGAAATGAATGAAAGACTGTAAAATCTAGAGACAAAGACAACCAACCAATACCATCCCTAAAAAAAAAAAAAAAAAAAAAAAAAAAAAAAAATCCCCGTTTTTGGGGAAAATCTTAACACACTTGTTTGGACACAAGAGAAGGTGCATCCATGAATATATAAGTTGCAGATAAAAACGATGACCCAGCTGCTGAACTGCCTTCGTAAAGAATGCACTCTGTGTGTTATAAGATGTGTCTCATTTCATTTCAAGTTTTAAAAACCAGAACACAAAGAATTACTAGGACAAGAGAAAACATGTGCAATCATATACCACTCCTTTTTATTACTCTTATCACTTATATTTAACAATATTTATAGATTTTTTTCCTTTTCCATCAACTTATTTTTTTGTACAGCACTTTGGTGCAGTTTTAAACCTGTTTTTAATGTGCTACATAAATTAATTTGACATTGACATTCTGTCTGAAAAGGAGTAGGAACACTTTTCAATCCTACCGCTTATCTCTATTTAATGAAATATATTACTTACCGACTCAATAATTATCAGAGATTTATGTAATTGTGTAACCATGTTATGTTATTCATATGGCTGTGCGTATATTGTAGGATGAATATTTAGGACTGCAATTTATGGCTCTCTTTTAAATTTAAGTTTTGTGTTTTAACAAACAGTGGAAGAAGCAGTTAATATGAATCTCAGTTTAATAGCATAGAACTGAAAACTGATTATTTTAGATGTGTTATGTCCATCCATTGGGTGGAGTGTGAACTACACATGGTTCATGGAATCTAAAGTAGGAAAACCACGACGAATTTTGGTGATAAATAATCTTAACCTTACAATATATTTAAATAGACACACGTGAGCAAAACTCTGTTATTTCACTGCTGCCTATTGAAGACATGTTTTCTATTGAAGACATAAAACTGCTTAAAGCTTTTTGTAAAAGGTTTTAGTGGCATTTGTGTCCCTTACTATTATTAGCAGGCGCCACACTTGTGACCTTTTCACATGACCTCATTTCAGTAATCCTGACCTGTCCTTTGAGTCAGCATGCTTTAATAGGCATGTTTCAACCTGTTAAGTGCTTGTTTATGGAAGTTGTGGGCACAACTTTGGTGTTATTTAAGAGTATTGCTTTTATAATGTATTTTCCATTTTAATCATATGCTGCCCTGTGACTGGACTACATAAAAGGGTAATTAAGAGATTTCAGAAGTGAGACACAGTTCCCCCTGTTGAATAAATTCATGAGTGCACAGGTCAAAAGAGCAATTTATCTAAAAAGAAATGGTTGTTTTTCTGCTTTTATTTCCTCGCCTCAGGCAAAGAAAGTGCTCAGATGTGCCTAGAGATGGTTGGTATGACCTCCATTCCCAAAGCCTATTATGCTTTAGCAGGTCTGTAACATGCTTTGAATCCTCAAAGTCTCTCTGGGACGTCTTAGTTAAGGCTTTGAAAAACTCCAACACTGAAATTCCTCGAGTCTCACTCTGCTTACATTTACATTTCAAGATACATTTCCTTTATTAAAGGTTTAGCTGCTTACCTCCTCATGTTGTGATTTTTCCTCTATTTCTGCTTCATCATCCAGAACAGAGGGCAGTCTTCAACGACTTCTTCCCATTAATCATGATTTTTACACAGTGTGTTTGATATATTGAAATGACTACAAATCATGCATTCTTTAAGTATGAAAGCATAAATGTTCCCCAAATCGTTTTAGTTACTGATGTTGGATTCAAAAGCATAGTTCTTCAGGGTTAGCACAAGTTACTCCAAGTACTCTTGTTTTGTTGCTGTTGCTACTTTGATCATCAGCCCTCTGTGCCATGGCAACCACCACTTGTGGAGGCCAGAAGAGAAGCAGAGCAGGAAATGGCTAAAGAAAATATTTTAAAGCCCTAAAACTGACCTTTACGCTCAAATGCATGAAGCTTAAACAGCATCATTTACCTGGATAAACAAGCCAAGCAAATGTGTTGACATATTCTGTAAATGTTTCTCTTTATTTAGAAGTAAATGCAAAGACCTTGCAGTCGATGCAACAAAATAGAACTTCTTCAATCAAGTGAACAACAAAAAGGTCCTTGCAGCGCAGGCTGATTGGATCAGAGTTGTTCATAGCAGCAGAGATGTGCAAAAAAACACAGAAAGAAACTCACCTCCATCCCCCTGGGCTTCCTCTGTACTGCCTCACTGAATGACAGCACTGGGAAATATTTTGTTTTATACAAGCAGCAGAGAGAAAAGACCACAACACGCATTTCTTTCGTCAATACTGCTCCTTTACCCTCACACCTAAAGAATCTGAGAAAAAATTAAAATTTCCTCTTAAACCTTTTTTAAAATCAAGCCAATTTTCATAATTTCCAAAACAAAACACATTCTTATAAAATATTGATGTGGTGCTCTATATCATACTTTGCATTACTTTTCTGGTGGCAAGAGTTACGTCACAGATGACTCTCGTTCCAACTAAATGAGATCAAGCAAATTATTTATCTGGAATGGGAGGAGATATTCATCTAAAATGAGCAACAACTGGAGAAATGGGAAACGCCCAGCAAACAAAAGAGCTGACTCAGAACGCAGAAATAATCTGGGCAAATGGAGACATCAGTTTAAATCCTTTAATCATGCCATCTTTAATTTGAATAGAAGATACAGAAATTAATACACAGGACTCAGAAGATAAAGGAAAAGCATGTTAATACAAAGTGAGTCATAAAAGAAGATAAATAAAAAAAATTGGTGCTTGCACAATATATATATATATATATATTTTTATTCAAATCTGACTAAAGCAGCAAATGACCAAAGCCAGTGTGGGATGATCTCTTTTCTCCGACCAGAAGCCTTAATTAGAACTTAAAACAATTGGACTGTCCTGCTGAGATCGTCGCTAAAATCCACGTGGGCAGCTTCCTGCTACCAAAACACCATCTGCAACCTCAAATTTGCAGGCTCGTGCTAATGTCAAGTCCATGTTTGAGATTTGTTTTTCTTTTTGTCTTGCTTTTAAACGAACAATGAAAGAAACAACAGGAGGAATGAACAAACATACCTGAGATCAAGCTCGATTACATCCACTCAAATATGTGCACCGGAGATGATTTTTGGGGCACAAGTAGGCAGGCAAATACACACATGCTGACAACCAGACAGGGTTTATTTTACAGCGAGAGGGGGGGTCTCACTTAAGCCACAGGAAAACATGCAGAAAGCCAAGTGAATGAATGAATGAATGTACCAAATGTTGGCAAAGAGGTAATGTAAGGCAAGAGGCAGACAAGTAAAGATGCTGCAAATGCATTTTCTGCATTTTTCTTTAAAAGCTTCATTGGTGATGAATGTGCAAGTCGACAGCTGTCGGATATGATCAGAGCAGCATCATTTGCTTTCCTTAATGTTTAGCTATGAAGCAGCTAATTCTTGAGAAAACAGCGTCGAGGGAAAACGCTCTCCAGCTTGCTGATAATTGAGTAAATATAATGCTACAGCTGGGATGCAATTAGCTAAGCAAAAAGTTTAAAAACATGAATTGGCACTCTCAAAAAGGTAGTGAATTCTTCCCAACAGCACATTTAAAGCTCATTATGTTACATTTGGAGTTTTTGTTCTGTACAAAAGCTAAAGTGTAAAAAATAAAAAGCTGTTCACATGAGGCGAGTTTTCAGGTTTGGTAATGTGGGAACAGATTTTCTTAGAGTATCTATTCTACAGTAAAACCAAAATCTTAAACTTATATTCCTCTTTATGTATTCTATTTAGTAACAATCTCAGTCACCATTACCAAAATGTTTTTATCTGTATTTCATCACTGGAATAGTGGTGAAGTGCAAAATGATCATTTCTGCATAAATATTCTAGCCTTGTGTTGCAGTATGATCAAAGTTAAACTATGACCTTTTACAAAACTCAACCTTCTTGCTTTTGTACTCACCAGGAAATCGCAATGCCAAAACCTGAACAGCAATTCTTGCAAAATTAAGTGTGCCAAACTTGTCTAACTTGTCTCTTGATTAAAGTAAAGTTGTGCAAAGTAAACTAACCCCTCATCCTGAAAGCTTATGTGTTTTTTTTAAGCTGCTTAAGCTTTGACATTGGTAAATGCTCCATACCTCTGCCTCTCTACAAATATTTGCAGCTGTTGTCGCACTTCACAACTTTCTTTCAGCTAATTTTGCAAGCAGGTAAGTTAAAGCAACACTATGAAGGAAACTAAAAGGGGTACATTTCCAGGAGGCTGCAGTAAAACAGAACCAAACTATTTGAATGATGGAAAGAATAGTTTTAGGGTGGATATGTTGATCTCGGATGCAGTTTATCCTGGAAAGAACTAATAATCCATCATAAACAAGATATACCATCTGATATTACAGCTTCTTGCTTTACATTATAGATCTACTTTGGAGGTTTGCCTGAAGTCACTGCTTAGCCTTACAGCCCACTGGATGAATTTTGAACGGATCTGAACAGTCCATGTTTGCATGCCCAGCATTTTTGTGAATCAAGAAGATGTAAATATATGGGAAACTGCCAAAGACCATGCCCACAATATGTGAACATGTAACAATGCAAGTATATAAACATTTATGTAAGAAGTTGTGTGGGGATGTGTGGGCTGTTTAACACACACACACATTCCAGCAATGCAGGAAAGGAGGCTACCATGAGGAATATAGTTGGTGTTTTCAAGCACGTCCACAAACTTCCAGAGCTGCTGAAGTGCCTACAATTTGCATGCATTGACTGAGATAACTTTATTGTAATTGTGGTCTGTAGTGTGCAAATCAGTGCTGTATAAAAAGTATCCGAGACACCGAATCAACATACACTTAATCTTAATATTACTTGGATCAATATCATAAAACAAAAAATCTTGTTTGTGACATCCATAAATCATTTTATTAAACCCTTCAACAAATCCCAGCATTTTTAAGTCATGATCCTACATGTTTTGCATTAATTTATTAATTTGTAATTCAATAATTTACGAAACAATTTGCCTTTACTGTAATTATAAGCGTGATACATTGTACCCTAGTTCACACAACATTTAAATTTGTTCAAGGCTCTTAAGATTTTAAACACATTTTTGTTTGAATTTAAGACTGAGCAGCTCTTGGATTTCATTGTTTGGAGAGCACCAGCTGAGACATGAAAATGTTATGAATGTTATGACAGGATGAACATCCCACTAAAGAGCACTTGCCCTGAAGCTGATGCCTTTTGATGAACTCCCAGTGGCACATTAATAGATGCGTTCATCGACGCTGTGACCAAATCACAATTTAAATTTGTCAACACACCAAACTTTTTCTTTTTCTTTTTTGTCTGTCAACATGCCTGTACATGCTTCACTGTCTTAACTTTGTCTACTTAAGCCTTTATTGATAATAAAACCCCCCAAAATATAGCAGATTTACCAGTCCCTACACATTCCCAAATGTAAAGTCGACAAATTTAATACAGAACTTTTTTTTTAATCAATGGTGCACATTTTCTTGCAAATATATAACCTCAATAAAAGCCTTTTAACTGCAACAATAACACAGAGTATATTATATTTCTTGATTATATTAATTTCTTTGTCATGCATTCACAATGAGGCAGTTCATTACACTAAGTGCACACATTATGAATCATAATGATCAATTTGTAAATTTTTGGAAGTATCATCAACAAGCAAAAACGATATCAGAACAGAACATTTCCAACTTGCTACAGACAAAGTTGCAGAGCCCAACAGAACTGTTTAAGTGGTATATAAAAAAAAAAGAAACAAAACCCTTTTTTGTTTTTTTCTTTACAGTACAAAAGTTGGCACAGTATTCTTTAACCAGTGTTGCCGTGTCGTTCAGACTGGTTGTGTTCAGCAAGCCCTCCATTCATCGACCTATGAGCAGAAAACCCTGAGAGAGGAAAGCAAAATAAGGAGAAAGACAAACGGACACAGAGAAACAGAGACATGGAAACAAAGATGTTACAGTCATTACTCATCCAACGAGCAGGGGGCTTTGATGGCCAAATGTGAAATTCAAGTGACAATCCACACAGGAACCATCGTCTGTGATGCATTATGTTGGTACTTAATGAGGCGTAGTGGCTATGTAGGGCCCTTGTTTAGCTCTCATGGCAAGGGTATATGAAGTGTATAATCTTGAACATGCAAAAACAACGTCGGAAACAAAAACAGAAATGGAACAGGGCCATCCGCTTTCACTTTAATCCTGTTAGTTTAAAGGCCTCTCTCCACACGTTTCTATGGTTACCCGCTCTGTTTTCATCCGATGTCGGGGTGACAACACGCTGCTGCCAAACAACTCCAGGATGCAGATCAGAGTTGACTTATAAGAGAAGCAGTGCTAATCTCATTGTTTGAGATCCATCTCAGTGGATTTATCTTCTGAAATCCAGACAAACCTGCTGTGACGTCTGAATGTCAACAATGGAAATATTATTTAAAGAAGGAATAAAAAAGTGATCTATGTCTTTTATTTATTAGTTTTTTATTATGTGTGTACAGGACTGTTCCAGTTACGGGTACGAAGCTATGCCAGAATTTTAAGTTTAAAATTTGCTTACGTTTTCCATCGTTCATATGGTTCAAAGTCCTTTGAACTGTGTAGTAATGCAACAATATCTCTCCCCTACCTGTTGCAACCTTGAGTTGTCTGAATGTGTGCGTTACTGAGAGTGACTTGGGGAATGTAGCTCTGGTGTAAAGTGCTTCAAGTGGTCAGTATGACCAAAAGAGTGCTATATAAACTCAATTTACCATTTTCTTAACTGTAAAAGCATTAACTAATGGAGCTCCAACCTTCAGTTGCAGCATATCTGTTAAGCACCCAACTACTGACTTGCTAGGTAATTTCTTTTTCTCATTTCTGTATATCAAAAGTAATTGCAGTGAATATTACATATATTATAATTCTTAAAATATTTAGTACTAAATGAAATGAACTAAATTATGAAATGATGGAACAGAAAATCTGCAAGATAGTAAGTGAGGCATCATGCCTTTAGCCATAAATCTCCAGTTTAGTTAGTCATTTATTAGAATAACCACTTTCAATATTTTTCTGGTAAAATCAGTCTTTTACTCTCACAATTGAAAATGATGAAAAACTAAAACTTCCAAGGCACTTACTCATCCGAGTCCTTTTTGTTCTCTTCAATGTAGGCAATGGACTCTGAGCGAAGTCGATTGGTGACCTCATAGGTGCGCAGAGTGACCCCAAAGATGTCCTCGTGGTATCGGTTTTCATCCTGGCAAAAACAAGGTAGTGAAGGTAGGACAGTGACATGTACATGGTGAGAAATTGTGAAAAATGATACCCAGTGGATAGCAAGTGACTTCATTAAAAAGTCTGGATCTACAGAACTTTGACTTATTTGTTACATTTTGACGGGAAATAATCTAATGGCCTTCATTTAGAAGCTCCTCTTCTTGTTACATACATACTGAGGAAATACTAAAAACAAAAGCTGTTCAATTCAACATTTCCAATCACAATAAGCAGCTTCTTACCCTAAGCTTGCTGATGTAGAATCCAGCGTCCTCTATGCTCATGTGACCTTGCTGCTTGATGATTTGCTGCACGGTCTTCAGAACATCTCCTGCCATTGTTACATCCCCACACACGTAGATGTGCCCTCCTTCCTTCCTCAGGCACTGGTACACAGTTTCAGACAGATGCTCACGCAGCACATCTTGCACATATTTCTGGAGAAGTGAAGAGACAAAGTGAAAGAACAAAAAGGGGGATGATGTGAACGTTAATTGCACTTCGACATATGGTAAAGATAAACTAAATGTTGAAATGCTAAAAATATAATGAACATCAAAATAAATGACCTGCAGATTTAATTTGTATTCTTTATAAATATCTGGAATTGTTTAGCCAATCCAATTAATCAAAGTAAGAGTGAACTAAACCTCTCAAGTTACTTTCAAATGCTTATTGCTGTTTGGTGGTTTTACCTTTGGTTTGCCAGGTTCTCTGGAGTACGCAGCGTAGAGCTCTTTGAACACTTCTCTGTTCTTGGCCTGCAGAGTCTCCTCCTTGTAGATGTGATCCATCTCAGACTGTCGACAACCGAACACCAGGATCATGGGGCAAGACTTAATCCCTTAGAGATGACAAAAACATGAAAAATGAAATTGCAATAGGATCAATGCAAAGTGAGTCATTGCGAATGACTTGATTTAAACAGAACACTGAAAAGCAATTATCTGAAAATCCAATGAATACATTTACAATGACACGTTCACAAGTCTTTCACAGGACATTATGGTAAGATCCTCCTCAGTTACTGGCTGAACAAACAGGTGAGAATGGCCCACCATTTTGCTCCAGGTCATATAGTCTTTGTTGCCAGAAGCTTCTGAATGGGGCGATGCCCGTTCCTGGACCCACGAGGATACACGGTGCTTTGTTGTCTTTTGGAAGTTGGAACGACGGTGCACTACGACGACACAAAGGATCAAAAACGTTTCATCACGTCATCTTAGCGTGTTCATGTGGTAACAGAAAGCAGAGGAGTTGTAGTGTGATGTAGGTTAAAAGTAATATCTTTGGCCGAAGTGTTAGGCTGTGTGTTGCTCACACACTAAAACCACATACGCTTACTTGGTGTCTGTCTGCTCAAATAAAAACACTTTGAAAAGTAAGCAGACTGTGTAATCACCAGACAGGCTGGCTTTCTAAACACTTGTCAATTGGACTTCTTTGCTTTGGGTATTCTTGCAAACCTCATTTAGTCAGAAAAAAAATATTTTAAATTACAATGAACAAACATTACATCTTCATGCGGAATTTCAATTTATTAAAATTATTAAACACTATAATGACTGGGAAAGAATTTTGTACAGGAGTGATGAAGTTACACCAGAATGGTGATGTAGGGAGTGTTTTTTAATTTACAGAAGGAAAAAAGGTGGCATGAATTTTACACCAGGTTTTTGACAAGAATGTTTTTCATTTTAGTCATTACCTTCGGACAAAACACGGTACCATTTCTCCTTTCTCTATCCTGTTGAGCCACGATGAACATACTCCGTGATGGATGGGTCCTTGCCCACCTGAAACAGATGATTACCAAGTAATCACTTTACCTTTTTCTCTCCAACCTGCCTCCCACTCATTTGAAGTGCACAAACTAACAGGAGAAGAGTGGCCCTAGCTCACCTACAAGGCTAAAGCCATCTCTTATTTTCTCTTACAGAAGGAAAAAAAATCACTGTAATACAGCAAGTGGTCATGCAATTATAGTAATATGCTAAAATAGCGCAAATACCAGTAAACAGTGGTTCATCTGTAGCCATTTCCTTCATTACCTGTTTAAGATTACAGGTGTAGGTCTGTGAGAACGATGTGCAAGGTCAGATTATACAGCTGGCATTCTGGGACCCTGATCCACTTGGAAATAAAAAAAATCCTAAACTATGCAAAAGCTTTTACCAGACACACAACTTTGAAGTACTGGTGGATTCTCACCTCTGGTATGATAAGAGACCACAGCTACTGTGAGGTGAATCTCTCCTGAATACATATCAGGAGAGGAGCTGATGGAGTAGTAGCGAGGTTGCAGCAGGGGAAGCTGAGTGAGCAGCAGAGTCGACGGCATCTGGATGGAGGGGAACTCGTCCAGCACCTCCACTAGTGTAGGGTTGTTGTACCACTTCCATTCCTCGTACTCCTGCAAACCCTGGGTTTTCCAGAAGGTAACGGTATGAAAAACAGACTGCATCAAAATAACAATTTTTACATCTTTATTTATCTTGATGTCTTTTGCATAAATGTAATGCGTTCGCAGTGAAAGGCTGAGAAAAAAAAATGGAGGAATTTCTTCTCTTTTTAGTCACGTAAACATTTCTGCATCGGAAGCATGAAGCGGCAGTAAGCAGAGCCCGTCACCAATCAGAACTCAACTGTTTTGTGTTACTGAAATTTTCGTGGTGACGAATTTGGGGCATTGCCTCCAGGCTAAGAAAGCAATAATTTGAACATTGCTTTGTTTTCAAGCCACTAATGAGCGTCAGTCCATTAAGATGTCTGTGGAATCCACAATTCTGAGTCCAAACCAGTTTTTGAACAGCAAGTGAATTTGGCAAAGAACCTCGAGGGTGGAGCTTTTTCACCTTAAAAACAGATGAAGTTTGCACCAAAAATCTTTCAAACTTTCTGCCACACTTGTGAGAACAGGTTTATCATCTTATTCTGACATTCTAAGACATGATAGGCAGGTAACCTTTGGCAACACGGCGAAGACTGGTTTGAGATCTAAACTAAAAAATCAAAAATGATCTGCACTGCTCACTGTACTGTACCACTTTATTTTACAAATTTAGAAGCCCTCCATCTTTCCCTCTCACTTTAGTGACAGTGATTCTACGCATGACTCACTTCTTGGCCTCCTCCAGCCTTTTTCACACATCAACAAAAATGGAGGGCGACTTGTGGGAGGCACCACAATGGGGGGAGGACTCCTGGGTTAGAGCGATCAACAGCTCTGATTTGGCTGCAGCTAACTCCTACTGCATCCATTTTCAATGGTGCAAAGTGCATCAAATCTCCTTTAAGACACTGAAAACCATCTCCCATATTTTAGCAAACATAATGAAGGGGATCTTTACTGTTGCAGCTTAGGCACATGGTGAATGAAAGGCGTTAGAATTGAAGATCATTCATCCATTGTCTATTCCCTCGACCCCTCGCAGGGTTGAGGGAGAGGGGCTCATGCCAAATGGAAGATCACATTAAATGAAAATGTCAAAGCCACATTTTTGCAAGTATTAAACTAAAAAATTGAAAAAAAGAAAGAAAAAAAAAGGTTTTAAATGAACCCTTTACCATTTGTGGCCACAAATCAGAGAAAATGCTTAAAGTAACATCTCAATAATTGTCGATTGCAAGAGGAAAGACAATAGAATGCCATGTAAATGTACCTTACTAAGGATTTCTAATTTCCTTTTCTGCTTGTCGTTGGTTGCCAGAGCTGCAAACTGCTGCAGCAGCACAGGGGTCGGTGGAGTGGTGATGTCCAGAAAGTACTGAAAAGCTTGGTTGATGGTACAGGGAGGAATACGGGTCTCATTGGTCCAATTACTTATAACACCTGCGGATAAAACACAAAAACTGTAAAAGATGGTCAATTCAGATTAGTTATGTCAATGCATGAATGTAAAGATTGGTTGTAGTTATTCTCCTAAAAAAAAGAGCTATTTTAGCTTGTTTTTGAGCTACAGCGACTTGCAAAAGTATTCGCATTTTTGCACTTTTCCACATTTTGTGGCATTGTAACCACAAAATGTACATTTTGTTAGGATTTTATGTGGCACACCAGAATGTAATTAACCTTACTTCAGTCTTGTATAACTAGGATTTGAATTGATGTTAAGTATTTTAAATTAAATTTTTTTTGGACAAGATATTTATGTATGTAAATAGATTTTATGTGGCATCAAATTAAATGAATTCTACCACGTTTTGCATTTACGGCCAAAATGTTCACTTTTGACCTCATGGTTCCAGAACACCCTTCTTTCTGCATCCCATCCACTGCTAATGGGACTGAAACAAAACTCAATGGCTTCTTTTTGCAGTGACTTTCTTCGTGTCCCTATAGTGCTCTACCTAACCTTTTTTTTTTCTTAGGGAACCTTGTGAAGTAACAACAACAGAACAAGTCTAATAAGAAACCTTTATAGTATGGCTTTACTAATAAGTGAGTAAATTACATAAAAAGATGGATTATTTTTACCAAATGATTGACTTCTGATAGTTACTAGTATCAGAATACAAAAGCACTCCACACCAACACTCATGTAGGATCATGGATAATTTCCCTTCCATTTTAGAACTGTGTGCTATTTTATGTCGATCACAAAGAATCCAATAAAAAAAAAAAAAAAAAAAAAAAAAAATGCAAAAATTTTTGGTTTTAACAAGGCAGTTTGTAAAAGCATCAAAGGGTTTTAATACTTTCACAAAGTACTGCATTTTAGAAGTTATCTCTGTCCTGTCTTCAAGTCTCCAAACCACCACAACAATCTAATTCCCTGCATTCAAAAGGGAACATAAAAGTTTGTGTAGCATTCTATTATTGTGTTAAAACTTCAGCCATTATATTACATGAGACCAAACACCACGGAAGATCAAATTTAATCTATGTACACAACTCAAATGTTAACAGTTGCATTAAGTCAGCGAGGCTTCAAAATTACGGTATTGTTTTTATTTTCTAATCAAGGAGCAGGTTATAGCTTGCTATAAGATAATATCTTGATGTTATTTTTGAAATCTGCTGTATAACTACTTCTCATAAAATGGGCCATTAAAATGAATCATGGTGGAAAATATTTATATGCCGAGTTTATTTACACATGCTGAGCCAGTCAATGTTCAAAATCAATTATTCTGTCATGTTTCTCTACATTTGCACAGCTCAAATTGCCCCTCAGGCTGCAAGAAGTTAAAAGTTGCAGCTTATGGTTTGAATCCATGCACACAGCTGGTTGATAGAAAGTGAGTAGTTGAGGTTAGAAGGCCATGCCAGTGTTGTATTTTAAAGTTAACTGAGTTATGCAACTAATCAGTTGACACAAATGCACAAAATTTAAAATGAACAATCCGTTTTAAGTTTATAAAGTTTTTATAAATAACTGCATTTTTTAGTCATATTTTTTAGTGCTAGAAGGTCTAATAAATCTCCATAGTATCTAAAAAGTGGAAACTTTTGATAACAAAACTTAGTGTGAATAAAGAAGCTCAAATAAATATAAACTACATCCAAAGAGTAACACAGGTTGGTAGATATTTGTATGCATTTCCTCATTTCTGTCAACTGGAATTTCTGTCGTGATGGAATGAGTTTTTATTTTATATTCATTCTGTAAACATTGAAACATATATAAAACTACTTGGTTTGTAAATAGTAAACTGCTGTGTAGGAATAAATGAGTAACAAAATCCCTTTTTCTGTGATCGTATGGTTGCAGTTTCACACTGGTAAAAATCATTTTACCAGAGAGGATACCAAACCCTCAGAAACGGCTTAATTTGTCAGGCAGTGTTTTAAATCAAGCGCACACGCTTAAACCTCCCCCCCCACATCCACAAAAAAAAATCATGTTGCTTTACAGTCACAGTGTATCTGTCGCTTAGTTGCATCACCCCAGTGTTACCACAGGTGCCAAAACTGAAAGATTTCTGAGTATAGATTCCTTCTGCAAGTGTAAGTCTATTGAGGCAAGAAGAACTGTATCTTATTAACATTTCCATTTTCACCTCGTTCCCAGATTTTGAACTGATTACACGCCCCCTGTATTCACACAGTGGCGTGACGTTGTTAATATCATCACCCACCTAGTGCCGTGTTCCTCTCCTCCAGGAACTCCACTTTGACGATTTGATTGACAGGCGGAGCATCCTCCAGTTTATCTATGAGTGCCGTTACCAGGTCCTCGTGGTTGCCAGGGAAGATGCCCAGATGGTCGCCAGGCTTGTAGCGCAGGCTGTCGTGGTTGTTTGTGTCGAGCCTCACTAATATGGTTGAGCGACTGAAAGGAAAAAAGAAAAAAAGACTAGAGGTTTACAGGAAAGGAAGAAAAAAATATTGCACCCTTTTCCATCTGTTTCATTCACTTTCCAGAATGAATAAGTTGTGCACATAGAATACACTGAATGGATTTCATATTATAGCTAAAGCAAGAACTTACTTGGATTTTGAACTTTGTAGGTTTTGAGCTTCAATCATCATTGCTCCATGTACTTTCTTCTTGTGGACACTGTATAATGCTATAAGGTAGAAATGACATGTTATTACAGGTATTACAAACTACTCTGGATTCTACTGTGGAGGGCTGATACACTTTGAGAGTATCCTCAGTCTTTGTGTCTGGATAAACAGGAAAGTATGAAAACAGAAAACGAGATAAGTTTCTAAAAATTATTCATATGTTAATTATCTTAAAGACAATGCCAGAATTTCTTTAGTTTACAAGATTTTTATATTTTGCAAACACGCCATCTTTGTTTGATTAAGCTTTATGTGATTGATCCACTTAGTTTTGAGTTACTGACTCGAATCATATACAGTGGTCTCTCCATAAATTAGAACATCATCATTTGGAAAGGTATTTCATACATGTATTAGGCAGATATTTAAATTGTTTCTGGCACATTTTCACCGACTCCTAAGGTGTGTGGAAGAGGTCCATAAAGGAGGAAACTCCAGTCCAGTGACACTTTAAGTTCTAGGAAGCACTTTTATTAAAAGAGCAGCTTTCATCAGAGTCACAGACTGAAACTTGTCTGTCTTCTCATAAAGCTGCTTCATAGGACATCGGGGTTTGCTGGAGTTTTGACCTTTACACAAAGATATTGAATGTTTTATTTTTATTTTTTCAGCGACTATGACTTATAGCTCATGGAAATCCAAAATAAAATTTTTCAGAAAATAAAAATATTACATAAGGTCACTTAAGAAAAAGTGTTTTAAGACATATTATATAAATGTTTTATGGCTTACTTGATAATATAGTCCAGCACAAGAGGAGCGTAAGCCACTAATGCGAAAGAGTTAAGAGTCTATGAAAGCATATTCATGGGAAGTTGAGTGGGGGGAAAAAGTGTGGTAGAAAAAGGTTCACAAATAACATGGATTAATAGAACCTTAGAACAATGAAGCAAAACTTATGGAAAAGTGGTGAGTACTGAGATGGGAGTCAATGCATCAAACAGAGATGCCAATTTAATCCAGAAGGATTTGACTCCTGTCCACCACTAACATACCCACATTACTTTAATAACCTAACTCCTGAAAGACTTTTTTTTTTGTTTTACTTGATTTGTCATTCTTAAATTAGGTAAGATTTCATTCACAATATTTCAACTATTTTTACAACCAACACAGCCAGACCACTACAGTTTAAGTTCCTGGAAGGTAACACATCTTTTCTAAGTATTAAATATTTTTTGAGGGTGGGGAGGAAAGAGACAATCTGAGTTGGTGGAAATAAAAAAAAATAAAAACAATTAGCTCTAGTAAAGAGAGGAGAAGTGATTTTAAAATATGCTATTAACTATGTTTATTGTATATATTTGTAAACAACTTCTAGATGGATGAGCTTACCCACAGATGAACAATGCAGTAGAACTAATTAGTGTGTGGGTGCATTGCAAACACCATTATACTAATTGTAACCTTTTCACAGGATAATATTAACAATAACAAACAAATATATTTTATTCAATTTTCTAATAATCACCATGTTTTTTAATCCATGGTTATTTCTCATAGCAAACTATCACATTTAATGCCTCTTATTTTCTATGTAAATTGTATGATGTGCCTCTTGGCATTTGCTTTACCCCCCACACAGATATGTAAATAGTACAACATGACTATCAGAACATTAAATCGTGCTATTTTTACTGGTAAGAATAATGTCATTTTGCAGCAGTTCTTCAGATTTCTTCAGACTTTAATTGTCCTCTGTTGTAATTGTGCTAGTAGTAATTTTCTAGTTTCAATCTTTTTGTTTCCCAATTCTCACAGGTTTTGTATTTCTCTGCCATTATTTTTGCGCAACAGCAGGAAAGTCGTTTGTTGTTTCCCCACCAATACTCCAAGACAAACAGTTGTGTGGGTGGTTAGTTGATAGAAAATGTGGTTTCGCACTTTAAAATTACATTTATGTTATTGCTTTCATAGCTTGGCAACTATTAACCAAAATGTGGTAATGTAACAGATCAATGTTTACCTGTGATAAACAATTACCATAAGAAACACAAAAACGAAAATTGTACATCAGTTTTAATCTCACAGGGGCGTATGTAAGCCAACATAAGTGCAGTATCCTGAACTGTTGCATCTTTTCAGAGCAAAGACATTTTCAATTCAAGTCATTAAAGGAAATTAAAGAAAAATGATACATTATATTAGGTATACTATTGATAACTATAGCTTAAAACTGCAAAAACAATAAATTTATTCGGACAGTGACAATATTGAAGAACATCGGCAGTAATAAACCAGAAAACATTAGCATGTTTTATGCTTCCCTTTGCTGACAAACAAGAAAATATTTTATTATTAAAAAGAATAAGATATTTGTTTGTAATTCATTTATTATGAGCTTCTTTTATTGATTTGATTTACTGAAATAATCTTTCAATTATATATTAATCCATTTAGATGCACCTGTAAACGCACTCTGATTTAACAATCAGAACTTTGCTGCTTTTCTGGGTCCTTTTACTTGATATTAAACATGCCTCTGTTTGTCCATCTCCGTTCAATATTTCTCTACAACTGAATGAGAGCTGATTGTAGCCTCACCACTCTTAGTCCAAGTGGAATATATGTGTGGGTGGCAACTTGACAGAAAACTGTTATAAGCTTCTAAATTACAGTTATCCATACTGTTTTTCCTTTACAGCTTGGGGACTAATTCACTGGTAAACATTCATTTACTTAAATAAACAGCCTTTCTGATACATTAGAATCCAGTTACACCCTCGTCTGTAATGAAAACATCATTTATAAAGCTGAGCTTCTCACATTTACAGACCAAATGTGTTATTTTTGACTCAAGCCTTTAAAAAGGTAAAATCGCTTGAAATTGCATTAAAATCTCTTTCCACAGTCAAGCCTCAGATCACATCTCCAGGTGATGTAATAGCTGAGTCACTCATAAATCACTGTTATTTTGTGTAAAGCTACTTATCACCACTTATTGTCCGCTTAAAATCAAGTCACCCCTTAGTAGTTCATCGCTACGCTCCCACACGATTACTACCTTCTGTCAGCGCAGGGGCCTCAGCTGTGTACGTTAGGCGGAACTTGCTCTTCTTCCAGCTACGGTCGTTGCTGATCAAGGAGTCATTAGCCTTCTCGATGTTCACATCATCACCAACACAGAACACATCACAGGCAGCCTGGAAAGCATCAGGAAAGAATGTCGCTGTTAGAAAAAAAAAGACAACTCTTCAAATCTACTGCATAATAAAAACTACTTGAAAATTACTTTAACACTTTAGAAATCAGACAGCAATAACTGCTTTTACTGTCTCAAGGTTTTGTCAAATAACATAAAAGTGCCACTTTATGAGCTAAAGTTGTTTAAAAGCGTTAGATGGCTTTTTGGTGTTGTCTGTGATGCTCAATGGTTGCAGGCTTTTAAAATTTGCCTTGGAAGGTGACCAACATTTAAAAAAAATAAAATAAAACATGTCACGACACACTTTATCCAACCACAACACAACCCTTTGAGGTCTTCACCTAAGGAACAAACCTTAAAAACTTTCTTGGCCCATGTTCTGAATGATTCCTCCTGGCCACACAGCTCATCTCCTTCTCCCATGCGTAGGATGCGCTCACCCCCCAGCTCTTCAAAAAGCGTGTCCACAGCGTGGGCAAAGGCGCAGAAGTGTGGGTAGGCCCGGGAGCCAAGGCCAAACACTGAGAACCTATACAAAAACCAATGCATCAAAAATACAAAAGAGAAAGAGAGAACTTAAAAGCAAAACACAAACATGGATGACCGCCAACTGTCACTACAGAACCTTTAGTGTTGTTGGTAATTATGCTGATCCAGCATGTTTAAGCTTACAAGGTTGGCATGTAACTCTTAGAAATCTTAATAACAATCAAACCAATTTTATACGCTATTATGCACTGTTGAGTTCAACTGTAAATATAACTTGAGACAAAACAAAAGTTTTTTTTTTGTTTTTTTTCACGATTCCATCACTTACAGCAAGTCGTCCAGGTCCTGAAATAGTAAAAAAAAGCCACAGACTTTCACATTACCGCCACCATTTCAATACTACTTTCCTTTACTAAATTGCTGTGTTAGTTTTATACTCCTAGTATGGTCAACTTTGTCGCATCAGTTTAGAAAATAATTTTCCAAAAGTCTTTGGGAACATTGAGATGAGTTCGTTTGAGGGTTATGTGAACTTTCTGATCAGCATCAGCTTTGGGCTTAGGCCACACATGGATGCCATTGTTAGCCCATTTCTTTGTTGATTTAATCTTCCAGAGTTAATAACACAGAGTTAATAATGAGTTAATAACTCTTTCTCACCTTGGAAGAGTTAATAACTCTTCCAAGGTGAGTTATTAACTCGCATGACTTTGGTATTATTTCACTATTGTTCCATGTTTTCTTGATTTGTGAATCATTTTTGTTCACTGGAGTACAAAAACCACAGAAATGGCAATGTGAGCCTTTCAAGAGAAAAGAGTACCAACAAGAACAATGTCTCATTCTTCAATTTATTTAGATCTGGGTTGCTCTTTGATAATTATAAAAATTATTTTGTCTGATGATCTGAAACTAACTGTAAGATGGCAAACGCTTTCTTATAATGTATACTTTTGCTATGCAACACTGGGATTTTTACCAACATACAGTAGTTAAACTCTTTCTGCAACCTGTGAGCTTTGTTCTGAGATCAACAATCTTCCCTCAAAATATAATGACATGAGCATTAAACTTCTAATGCTTATGTCAAAGCAAGAAAATCTATTAACAAAATACATCTGACCTTAAAGTGACACTCAAGTTTTGCAGAATATTCATCTACCATAGCTTGGGTTTTTATGGTGTCATTAGGTTTTTATATTAAATAATGCTTTGTCCTAGGGTGCAAAATATGCTTAAAACCCTTACATCAGGCAACACAGTCTAGAACAGATGACTGAACAATTATCTTAATTTTGAGAAGTTTTTCTTGTAATGTGACACTTAATGGTGACAAACCCACAGCAGATCTCATATAGCATGTAGAAACATTGCTGGTCTTGCCTCTGAACCTAAAGGCAGCGTGTTAGTGTGACTAAAGAGCAACATTTCAAGGTATATTCTTCTTAGCATAAATTAGAAGGATACGTGATTTAAGACAATGCTGCAAGGATTGTTTGAGATTAAACGTGTAGAGGTGGAGGCAATTTCAGTTCCAGACTACAGTGTGAGCTTGATGACAAAGGGCGCACAGCTGGCAAACTTATGAACCTGCAGGCAGGCATCAGTGGAGTGGAAAAGTATTAATGAATGAAAGCAGTGACATGTAACATCCAAGTTGCATCATGTTACCTTTCAGTTCAACTGGAAACTTGTAATTTCCATCTTCAGACAAGGAAAAACTCAAGTTAATGAACTAGAAATCAGATTTCTGTTCTGAATCCTGTTTATCTGTCAAGCTAAAATGTCTCAACAAAACGTCACATGCCCCAATCGTGTGCAGTCGTCAGCGGCCGATGAGTGAGTTCGCTATTATGATGACATCATAATTTATCATTAACGTTTTATTCTCCCAGCTCAAAAACATAAACTGACCCGTTATTGTTTTTAACACTGCGTGATTTTTCTTTTAAAAGCCAAGAGAATCATAGTTTTTATCAACATAGGTGTTTTCTTTAGTCTGACAATGGATGGATGGTCACCAAACACCATCATGTTGTGCTTCTTTATTTACCAGATCAGAGCACCCCATGTCATTCTGATAAATTACATACCAATGTAAAGTAGTGTAAGTAGTGTAGTGTGTGTGCACACATAAAATGTATTCAAGATCATATGAGCTTTGTTTTATTAATTTTTTCTATTTTGTTTGAGGCCAGTCATCCAGCAAAGCTCAGATGAGGAATGAATGGGACACACAGCAGAACAGCCAGACACCTCACCACCTTCAGCACTGGAGAAGGAAAACACACCACCAGAGCCTTCACCTGTGGTTACTGCCAAGTCTAAGAAGACCCCATACCAATGCCAACATGTGTGTGTGTGTGTGTTCTAAGCCTCCTTGAAGACATTAAGGAGACTCAGAAGGTTCACAGTCGTATGCTGTAGTCGCTCCTGAAACAAGGTGAAGGACCAGTAGCTGAGGTTTTACCTGAACTTCTTTTTCCCCCCTCTGTTGGTTGTCTGGGCCTGATTTGGGGGAAATCTGCATGGTGTCATGTCAGATGTTAAAAGTCGTTTCTGGTTCTCAACAGTTTCAAACAGAAATAAATAGTCAAATTTAAGTTTATTTGATACCAGATTGACATGTGACCTCATCTTCATCCCATGTTATAAAAAGTGAATAACATGAAGAATTTGGACATTTTCATGGTAAAAAGAAATGTGGTTCCCATTACTTTACAAACGTATATATTTTCAACTATTTCACGTGTTCCACACATGATGCATGTGTGAAATGTGTATACCATGTGAAAACATGTCAGAGTGACTGTGGCTCTGTGTGTAGAGAAGTTGCCTTGGGATCAGAAGGTTGTTGGTTCGATTCCAACTTACCGATCTACGTATCGGCGTATAAATGTGTGTGCGGTTGTCAGTGCAAATGGGTGAATGTGATTCTAGTGTAAAGTGCTTTGAGTAGAGCGCTATACAAGTTCAGTACACATGTGGATCCCATAATTTATATGGAATACACATGTGGAAATATGTGTATCCAACATACATGTTTCTATGTGAATCACAGGTTTTTCACCATGAAATGTTCCAAAATCACATGTTTACATGTGAACGTTTGTGTACGTTACAGTACATGTGATTCACATGTGAACGTTACGGTACATGGGTTTCACATGTGAACGTTTGTGTACGTTACAGTACATGTGATTCACATGTGACTTTCTCGTGAATTTCATGGTATTTTTTTGATAAAGCTTTTAGTTATAATGACAAAATTAATTATTAATAAATTTACCTGACATTAGCAAGAGGTCCTGTGCTCTCAAAATTGATCCTGGCCTCTGGTTCGTCACTGGAGGACTTTCGAGTGTCTGAGTAAGAAGACACGCTGTTGAATCGAACCTTGTAGCTCCTGTGGATAGGGTAAGACAGAGACGTGAGGAGGAATTTTACTTAAAAAATGGGGGTCAAGAGGGCACAGCTGTACTCACTTTCTGTCCTCTGTGTTGGAAGTTGGGTGGCGCATTTCCATTAAGGCAGCTCCGAATTTCTGCACCAACAAGTGAAAGACTGTTATTGTGCTGTGATCATTTAAAAAGGCTTTTTGAGGAACTTTATATTTACCTCTCCATTTTCAGGTGGATCCCCATTGCCAAATGTGCTGGTTACAGCTAAAACCAGCGTCTCATGCTCCAAGTCCACCACATCGTATTCATCCATGGACATGACCTGCAGGCGAAAGATCTCTCCTCAGAACATATCGGTAGATCTCAGCTACCAATATGTTCCAGTTTTCATCTCATTCCCCTCTGCACACTCCACTCAACAGATGCCTTGAGCCTGTAAATTAGGGCCGAACACGCAGCCGCTGGCAAAGAAGTAGGTTGTAATGACCACTCTGTCTTCACCTCTAACGAGATGATAATATGCTGCTGCCACACACATTGAGTGGCCATGATGCACACAACTCAGCAGGGGTGCGTGTCTGCCATGGGCCACGCGCAGATTTCTTACACACACATGCAAAGCTGCACAAGCAAAAGGCGTGAAGAGGAAATAGGCTTTAGCCCTGCAACAACAAAAGTTTGCCCCAGGCGTTCACATCTGCCCTCCATTTGTGCACACCCACTCTCTGTGACGCACAATTGCATGCATGACTGTCTTCTTGTGTAATTGATCACACTGCGAAAACAGGAGAATTTAGATGGACCCTAGAGGAAATGCACCAAGTACATGATAGAGAGCGGCATCTTTTCCTCCTTAACAGATTTGCACAGCCAAAGGTGTTTCAGGATGTTGTCTTAAACTACTGTCTGTTCAATGCTTCAGTGAGTAAAATTGGTCCAGAACTCTGGCACTTCACTGCATGACAAAAAGGTAACATAAAAAGACTTTTCAGTTTTTCTCTGTAGGTCTCAGTTTGCATTTAATTGGCTTCATCAGGCAGGGGGCAGAGAAAAGAGAGGAATTGTTTGAATTTGTACTTTTCAAAACATCTTGCTCAACTTTTGGAAACACTGATGCAAGGTAGGCGCAAGAGTACCTTGGCATCAAAGGCGTGTTTGAAGATTTCACAGAGAGTTTTGGCGTAGTCTTGTGATTTTCCTGTTTCAGTAGCAAACAGTATGGTGGCTTTAACCCTCTTGGCCATGGCTTGCCCCATTAGCTTTGCAGAAAATTTCACAGCCCTGTGGAGGGAATAAGAGAGAGACGACGTGAATGAGATGCAGAGAAAATAAAAAGAGCAAGCATCTGAGCCATCCAAGGTAAGCTAATTCAGGGCACAGTGTGGAGTCACTGTGTCTCCTGCCACGATCACAAAGCAATTGTTATTGAGCTGCTGTTGCAGGTAGCTATATGGATGGGTGGCAATTCTGATTACCTAGCTTGTACTTTCCTTGAGGCAATTATATTAATAGCAGATCATACATGCACACAAGCGCATGCACAGACAAGAAAACTGACAGAACTCTGATTACTCCCAGAGGGGTTGATTGGATGAATTTCACTGCTGAGTACATTAGCCTCCCTTTCATGGGTTTTGCTTTTATCAGTAGGGTGATTACTTGTGGAAATTAGCATTATACACAACCTATTATCTTTGGCATTTGGGGCTGTAATGTATACTTCGCTCTTTGAGTGAGCCAATAAAGGAATTCACTAATTTAATATAAGCAAGCATATTTACTTGGCAAGCTTCTTAAATCCGATGGCCCTTTTCTTTGTGGGTGTCCCATTGACTCCTTTCCACACATGAGTGTTCCAAGGATCAGGCTTTTGCACACAGGAAAAAACACACAATAAGACACTTTCCAACAAAAAATGTTTCACACCTAAGGCAGCCACTTTTGGTCTGCAGGAGTTATTTTTAATTGCATCCCTCTCACCTGGTACTCAAAGGAAGGTGTGAGACGGTAGTTGAGCATTTCTTGGTGAAAGACTGGCGTAATGCTTCCTGACATTGGAGGCACAATCCACACCCAGTCTCCAGGGCAGCCTCCTCTCACCCGATACTCGTTCTCCATGTGCTTCATGAAGGACTCTGTGGCTGAGTGATGGTCCACTATGGTCACTTTGCAAGTCTGGAGTATAAAGCAAGAATATGGGAGGAAAGGCAATATTTTAAAATTAAGGAATGGAAAATGAAAAAGCATAAAGAACAAAGTGACAATAAACTTCCCAACCCTTAAAAAAAATCTCTGCAATAAGTGTGTTGTTTTATTCCCTAAATGTAGTAGTTTTTAGGTAGTCTGTATTTGGATTTTTGACATGTAGACCTAAGCAAATACATATTTCATAATAACACAACTTTACAAACCAATGTTATAATAAATTTTCCAACAAAACAGATAACTTTCTGTAAAATAAAACCAGTCAGATCACTGCATGACTTGCTGATGCACGAGATATCACTGAGGGAGGCAAATGTCATCCCATTAAAAGGTATAGTACACAAAACGTCTGAAAAAGCATAATAGAATAAAATGCGGCCCAACAGAGCAAATTCAAATTAGCTGGTCTGAGAAAACCCAAAGCTCTAAACATGGGTAATAGGCATCTTGAGTCATTAGCTTTTATTCTTCCCAAAATGCCCTAATAAAGTCTAGCCAAGAGGAACAAGTTGTGGAAGGTTGTTAAAACTGGAAATTAGGTTAATCCTCCAGTGATAAAGAATACTGGCACGCAAAAAAATAAATAGTGGATCAGTTTTTATGAGGACAAAAACTGAAAATCCATGTAATACTTTTATCACTTGACAAATATGCACAACTTTGTGTTGTTCTATCATACAAAATCCCCCTTATAAAGCCTTGACAAAAGTACAAATTTAAATGTGGATAAATTGTCATTTTATAACCCTCTAAAGCTCGGTTATAACAGAAGTTAACTTAATGACTCAGACAGGTCAAGAGACATTTTATTTTATTTGTGACTCTGAAAAGTCAGTCTTTAGGCTAAATACCCCATATTATTATATCTTTGCACCACAGTCATGTAAATATCAATGTTTTATTAAGCTTTGTTCATGATGTGTAGTTCAACACTAAGCATATAACTCAGAAGGGCACTTGTGGAGATGAGATCACTTTTGTAAACAAGCAACTTGCTGTGAATCCAATATGACAAAAGGCTCTCTTTTCCCAAGAGGAAAGCGCACACACCTTCAAATCCCTTGAAATCTATATTTAGATCAACTTTAAGCAAAGGATGCAATCACCTGAAAGCTGTAGAGAACAGCAATATTAATCTCCACAAGTGCCTGGTCTTTCCAAAGGGAAGATGTCTTCCTGGTGTCTAAGCCCATCTTGTTGGCAACCTCCTGCAAAACATAAGATAAATGAGATGATATTAATGTGAAAACCAATTGTATGCAATGTGCTGTTTTTGTTTGATAAAAAGGTTTGATTATATGGGTTTCCCAAAAGCTTGGATTTTTCAATCAAATGTGAAGTGTACATGCACCCCATCAGATCTGGTCCAGCAATGGCCTAAGAATTTGGTGCATATCACAGACACATAGAACACCTGGCAAAAATCTATAAAAATCTAAGTCAAGATGAAAATGCAGTTTACAAGAAACCAAAAAAAAAAAAAAAAAACTATAAGCTACCGTTTACAGAAGTAATTTTAAGCCATCATCTATATGAAAGTACCTTCACATCACTTTGTAACACATTTTTTATTTTACTTTCATTTTGTTTACATTTACACGTTTCAGAATAGTTCAGTTAAAATTGCACTTCAAATATGCTGCTGCAAAATCTGTTTCATATTTGCCGTTTTTCTTGGGTGTCATACTTTTATAGAGAGTTCATTCTATAATTCATCACTTCCAGATGCCCAAACTAATTTTCTTACTACCTTGTGTGATTGGTGCTGTGAGCCGTTTTAGCCAGTTATACATAATCAAACATGACCATTTCTCTTATATGTCTAAAAAAGAAATTGTATGTGGTTTTAAAGTTAATATACTACTTTGCAAGAGTAAGCCATACTGCCACATTGACTTTTTCCTAAGTATCCATTCGGATATCATTCTGTTGCGTACAGTTTCTGCCCAGGTTCACCTGTCAAACAGCCTCACAACTGATTCTCTACAGAAGAGCTCATCAACAGAGTGCTTGACAGTTCATTTGACAGTTTGTAGTGATTTGTTGAGTTTGGTTTTCACCAAACATGTCACTGTGAGTTATCAAATATCTCAACTTTGGTCTTGTCTCTCCAAATAGCATGGTTCCAGAGTTCCTGTTGTTCTTTCAGTAACAGCTATCCCAAGCCATGAACCTTTACTCTTCACAGAGATGAATGGCTTTCCTGATAAACTAATTCGCTGCTCTGCTGATTGTATTGTTGTGAACTTTAACATCAGCAGGATGTAGAATCTAAGAAATCTCTTTCAGATGTTGGCAATTACCCCCACAAATCCAAAAGCTGACCTCAGAGGGAATTTGTAGGAATACCGGTGAAAATTGAAAAATGTTTGGAATGTCGTCTAAATGAAAATAACCCCAATTCACACGCCCAACAGTGGGATTTCAAAATGACCAGATAACCTTTCAGTTTGCTTCTCCAAGGTCACTTATCTTATCTTTACACATTTATTTGATTCAGCCCAGCAAACTGCTAGCATGCTATTCCTATGAGTGGTTTATTACTCTAGGTGTGTGCTTACTTTTAGACATCACGTCCATATTCTGCTTATGTCTTTGTCATGTTTTGTATTTAGTAAAAATACAAGAACAAGAAGTTATATTTTAATAATGCAAGACTGTATTGACTTAATTTTAAGAACTTGTAGTTGGTCAAAAGATTATTTATTTAGGGCATGCAAGGTCTTTGAGTTAAAACTATGGTTTCATATTTGGCAAATTACTTAGTGCTGAATAAAACAGAAAAACCCAAAGGGCAGCAAGAAGCCATCAGCCTTCTCCACAAATTAAGCAGTTGAGTAACAAGACAAATCCAAAGCTGGCACCCATGTGCCTTGAAGTGCTCCTCAAAATTGGATTGCTCTGATTTGGGATGAAATCTTTGGAAACCTTTCTCTTTACATGTCTGAGTATTGCTACATGACATACGACACACAAAAAAACAACAGTCTGTTCAGCATTTTCCATCTGCGATATCACCTTTTTTCTTTAACTGAAGGCCATAAAGGATTCTTTAGAATCTAGATAACACACAAACACTTAAATTTCTTGCAAATCAGATTTCTTTCCATTTTGCATAGTTACATTGTTTTTGGCTCATTTGATGACACAACACATGCTTGTCTTGACACAGGGCTGCAGTCAATCTGTGCCTTCAATTCTTTCCTGCTTCTAATGTCACATGACTATGTTTCCTGGCGTGAAAAATACCTCCAGAATGTTGTAGCGTGAGCTGTCACAGAAGTCCCTCACGCCAATCTCTGTGCCCATGTACCAGCCACTGAAGGGGCATCCAGTGAATTCAAGACCGCCAATCTCTAGCAGCATGTTTGCAACTGCTGGGAGGCCGTACCACTTCAGCCCCAGGTCCTTGAACCACTCAAACCTGGGAAATGAAGGAGACAACTGTGACGTAGTTAAAGGGTTACGTCAAATAATTTGCTTCATTATCCACTGCCAAGCTAGCAATATGCTTCATCACTAGGATCCTTAAGAGCCAGTGTAATTGCCACTGAGACACGTAAAAAACTAGTGTGTCCAAAAACCAACATTACCAAAATGAAACCCATTGTTAAGGCCTTTGTAATCCTGGCCAAAGGAAGTGTCGCCTTTTGAAACCTTTGGGGGGATTGATAGCATTGCTTTCAGTCTATTATTTGCAGCACTGGGTTTAATCTTGTGTAATGATGAGACACTATGCGTGGCCGAAGCTTGTGCCAAGCTGCTGCCAGAGCTAAGGGCCAGCTGATGCATGTGTATGGAGAAAAGAAAGCCAAATCTGGAAACGTCTGGCAGGGTGATCTGTGTGTCAAGGGATTCTGAAACACTCTGTAGTGTTTAACAATGCTGTTATAGCTTGGAGTGCATCTGTAAGTGTGTAGTTGTGAATGATAGTGTGGCAGTAAAACCTGATTTTTTTTGTATAATTACAATGCTACCATGCAAGTGGAGCTTAATGATTAAGATACCGAGGGTTTTACAGCTTTTGAGATTTGGCTTCGGATATTCTGTTGCAGGAAAAGTAAACAAAATGAATAACAAATAAGAAGCTTGAAGTTTCCACTAACAAGTCCCGTGCCTGCCACCAAAAAAGCAAACAAGAGCTAGTTGTGCTTTCAGGGAATAATCAGCACAGTTGGAATGGAAAGATAACCAATCAGCTTCCTTGGCATGAAAGGAGCCCATTGTTTGAGAAGTGTGGTTAAAAAGATGTGCAAGTGGGTGGATGTCCCTCAGTACAGCCTCCTCTGTTGTCGTTTTGTTACATTCTTTATGTTTTATGCATGCCAAAGAGAAAAAAGCAGAACTCACTTTGGATGTATGATAGGAACCTCCAGAATTAGGTCTTCAGGGATCTCAAAAAGCTCAGGGTCATTTCCATTGGCTTGTAGCAGAAGTGGAAGGACGTCAAATCGACCCTTTGGTGCTTTCCATCCAAGCTGCATGCAGATCTAAGGATGAAAGTACAAAATGTTAGCCAAAGAAAAGCCAAAGAGATGGACAATTCTGCAGCTGCATCTTACTGATCTGTACCTCTGTGAACTCAACATTAGCAGGGTCTCCCAGAATACCTCCATCAGGTTGTTTGTAACCTGCGTAGCGAATCAACTGACTGTTCCACACTCTGAAATCATGTTTGCCATCGGTTCTCTGTGGAAATATGGTGATTGCTGACCTGCAGAAGAGGAATAAGGAATACACTCTATGTTGTAAAGGCAAAAAAAGAATGCTGCGTTACATTGACATCTCTGCATGTGTGTGGCTTCTGTACACACTGGTTTTGAAGTTAGAGGTGAGGCAGCAACACATCAGGTGATGTAAGTGCTGCATTAATCAACTGGACCACTACCTGATGGATGATACTGTCAAAGCCTGGCAACATGTTGCCCAATCTAGATCCCACTGGTGTTTTAATGCTCTTTACGGGGTGAGGTTGTTAATGTTGGTAAGCTGGTTGTCAGTAACTGAAGAGGGTGTGATGGATTTACTGAACAGCTTGTCTGAATCTGGGCCAGATGTGCTGCAAGTCTGCATCCAGTGGAAACAAGGTCATGGTAAGAAATCATAGGCAAACGTCTCTCTTTGGAGCAACACATGTTGTGATCAATCATTTGCAGTAATGCACTAATCAACTAGCCAATGATCAAAACCACCAATACGTCTCTTCATTGGCACTGATTGGGAAGAAAAAAGACAAAATGTGAATAATAATTTCCTTCCCTGATCAGGAAATGCATCAAATCTTAAACAGGATGGTCTTTGATGCACTTTTTGTTTAGTTCAGCAAAGATCAGATAAAGTGTCTCACTCCTTTAATGTGATGCTATAAAGCTTCTAGTAGATTAGCGGCATGCTTTTCATCATAATAAAATGTTCTACTTCTCAATTTAATTATAGAACAAAGCTGCAGATAATTGGTACTCCAGATTTTATTACACTGAAAAAAAGAATAACAAATTTAAAAAGGATTACAGATTATAGATTATTACAGGTATGACTGCAAACTGATAACTAAGATGATGGTATGACAGTGCCTTATGAGGTCCTCCATTGTAATGTTCATCATTTTTTTTCCCTTAGTGATTTATAAAGAACTACATTAAAATTTAAACATTGTTTATTGATCGACGTTAAAGCAGACGCGCCAGAATTTCAGTCTCATTTGTGTGGCGCCTCTTTTGACATGTGCATCCGAGCCAGCTCTCAGAGGGCCAGGAGACTTGTAGTAATGAGTCAGGATGCATCCATCTTACGAGAAGTAAATGTGAGATGTCACATATGATTAGGACTTGGCAGAACGTGTGTGAGGGCGGCGCAGGGGTCTGACAAATGACTGCTTGTTAGCGAGGTCTGCCGCCTTACCAGGCGGGCAATGATTGGTGCTGAAGTGCTGACGGATAAATAGACAGGCAGCAGATAGTGTCATATACGACGTTAAGAGACAGAGCGCACATTGACAGATGGGACAGAGGGTCAAGTCGGGGTAGTTGGAGAGAGAGAGGGGTGATGAGCTACATGGAGCGACAGATGGATCAGATGCAACGAGGGGAACCGGGGCAGAGCTGTAACAGTAAGAAAACTGAAAAGAAATAATGGTGTAAATAGTATTAACTTGGTGTGTGGTTTTACCGAAGGTTGCCTTTGTTGGTGGCATACTTGATATGGTTACAGATGTAGTTATACATTCCATGGGCTGTTGTGCAGTCTCTGGCATCAAAAACCTAAAGAAGCAAACATGAAACAGGAAATTAAAGTTATGTTCTTGCAACGTTCAGCAGTTAAGAGCTTTACTAAAACCAGCAGACTCTTGTCTAGTTCCTCAGAACCAACCCAGTGCACCGTATGACTGGAAAAAGCCAACAGTATCACATGATTCACAAAAACATGGCTCCTGAACCCGATGGCCTCCTCTCCAGTTCTACACCTGAAGATCCTGTCCACAAACAGGATTTGAAACAAGAATTTCAAGTTTGTGTCAGGAAAGCAGAGACAGCTGCTGCTGTGGGTGTATAATTACAAAATAACCCTTAAAGAATCCCTGGGAGCAATACTGCTAAAGCACTCTCCAGAAATATGGAAAACACTTATAAGTCATTTTTACAATACATGTGGAACAGACAAACAAACTCCCATGATTTGCTCAAGAACTCTGGGACAGTGAAGATTTGGTGGATTGGTCCAAGGACAGCACGAAAGCCATACCACTCACCCATAATCCAAGGTTTGATAATCCGTCCCCACACTGTCCAGAGCCTTCAGCATGACAATAAACAAATCTTCCCAGGTCATCTTCATCGCAGGTCAACAAGAGGAAAACGGATTTCTGCCTTTTCAGGATCAGCCTCGGCTTCAAGCATGTTTATATACGTGAACACGCTCAAGGCTGAGCAGAGCCAAAATGTGAACTTCTCAGTTTAATAGTCAAGGTTCCCACTCTTACTTATGGCCATGACATATGTATTATGAATGACCAAAAAAAAGAAAAGAAATAAAAATAGATCCCAGATAAGTGATGCTGAAGTTCAACCTTGATGGAGTGAAGGCTTTTGTCATCCAGAGATTATAATGGGGTTCTTGGTTAAGAGAATGCAGTGATGAATTGAAACTACTAAACAAAAAACATATCCCACAGTTTACCATGTTCATTTCAACAATTTCTAAATGTATAGGTTTTTATGCAAATGCCCTCCTCCCCCCAAAATTGTCAACTTATTTGAAACAACTGCCAAAGAGCTAAAACTTTTTACTAGCAAGATGCTGAATCGTTGACATATTGGGTACAACCTGTAGTTTGGACCACTGAATCCGTCCCACACATCGGGCAGCATTCCTCCAGGCGTGCTTGGCTCCATAAATCAGTTCGGTGTCTTTTAGTTGATAAGTCCCTGAAGCTTCAATCTCTTTTGTCACCTCCTCCCATCTGTCCACATGAGCCTTGGAGCCAAACCTGAGAGCCAGGACAGGTTCAGGGACACAATATAACAACTGACAACACAGAATACTAAATTGTGAGGACATGTGGCATTGTCAAACCAGTATCAAATGATAAGTTGCTAAGAAGCAGTCACAGAACATGCTGACATATTGAGAATATGGGCTCCCACATGGGTGTTGTGTTTATATGCACTTAATCTAAAAGAGAAGCAAAGCAACATCTAAATGGGGAAAATGTTTCAGAAATCAGCAGGGACCAGGGTGATAAAGAATCTCAAAACAAGCTTCTCGTTTTGATCGTGAAAATAATTTAAATGACTAAAAGAGGCTCCACTGAAAGACTAAAACTGGATTCTTCTCCAGTGGACCAGCAGCGGCCCATCTATAGTCATCGTAAACAATACCCCTTAGGTAAAGGATGGTTGCCTTATCTTCATGGTTTCACATGCTAACATTGTATAAACATGAATCAAAATGCCTGTTGATGTCAAATTTACCGATTTGGAAATGATAAATTGACCATGATGCCTAAAAGTGGAACAAACTATGTAAAATAAAACCCAAAGATCAATAGACAATACATAAAAACAAGAATAAAGAACTCTGTGTGATCTATTCTAAACTTATGCAAGCAAAAACAAAAACAAAAAAAACAGGTTTTTGGCAGGGTTTTAGATTTGATATTTTGTGTAGCATCTGTTAATTAACCTAATTTGGAATATCCATCCCAAAAACAAATTTCATGACTACAGTACTAGAAAATAAAAAAAAGATGTTGTGATAATACTTATAAAATAGTGAAATTCAGATTCAGTAGGCACAGAGTTTATTTTTGTAAATATGCATGTGATCTATTCCAGTCTCATGATCATGCTTGTCTGCTTGACAACTGTCAAGTCAGCAGTCTTCTGCAGGATTGTGTAAGGTTGTCTGCCTAAATTCATTATTTGTACAATGGAGTCTTTCCCTTCCTTATCAATTACATAAACAAACAAGTCTGCTGGTGATGCACACTGCTTGAGTGTTCAAACACTGGAATCCAAAATGGATTCTGAGCTTAATTTCAGAATCCATTTTGGATGTGAAACATCTTAAAGGTTACAGACGCATTGTTTGTGTTTGACAAGCTAAAGTATTTGATTGCTCTTTTTGCTAGTCGTCTTTTTCAAATTCAGTTGGAAAACTCATTTGAAATGTCAGATTTGTTCAGTGACGTTATTCACACTGGATGTCTCTTGTAGCCTAGATTTCTTCCATTAACAAATCCTGTGGAGTTTGTAGTGAAGTACATTTTCCAAAGCTACTGCAGTTTCTCTAATTTATCAAGAACGCTTCTCTTTCCATTTAAGAAGAGACAGCTGAAACCAAACCAATATAAATATAAATATCTCCTTTACTGTTCTAAAAATCTTCTACAAGGGGAAATGTAGAGTTGACAATGGGTCTTCTAATTTAGATTCATTCTTTGACTTACTGGAAACCCAAGTGTATTGCGTTGTGTAGTGATCTCAGTGTGCAGAGCTGACAGACTTGTCACTTTATTATGATTAATTAGATGACAGTTTAACTGACCAAAAATTCAAAATCAAGTCAAACAGGTTTAGAGGCAATTTTTCTTTTTTAAACGGTATTATGAGCTGAACTTGCCTTTTGATGGAGGTGTAGTATTGGTCAATGAAGTCAGCGGCCAGGGGAAGAAGTTCCTCTTTGGTTCTGACCTCATCTGGTTTGCGAACACCCTGACTTGGCACCATCACAGAACCATTGCAGACGTTTTCACTGCAGATTGGCATCTGCAAATAAGCAAGCAAGTTAATGCTGTACAAAAGAAAAATTAAACATTAAATCATCAGAACATTCAAACAACTAAGCAAAAGCAATCGATTTTTGTTGCCTTAAAGAAAAAAAATAAAAATCAGCCTCCAGATTTTACACTCAATGGGAAAGACATCCAGAGTTGTGTTGCTTCAACTGAAAACATGTTAAAACCTTTAGTTTATAGCCTTTAACATAGTGCAGACAGTTATATTGTGTTTCGGGATAACCACAACCTCAAGTGTTTGAGGGTGTGGAGACAAATATATACATATTTTCAGAAGAAAGTAAAGTTTGCATTTCATTTGAAAATCAAGATCCAACAGTCTGGAGAAAAAGAGTGCTAGTGAATCTTAGGTTTTCATAAGATACAAATGTAGAAAACTTGTTTTGAGTTCAGTTTTCATCTGGTTCCTTCAGTTTAATAACCAAGACACTCATGAGCCATTTTTGAAACAGTTAGGTGTGAAATCAGCCTCAGTTATTTTTTTCTGCTTTCATACAATCCACACAATGAGTCCCTTCCTCAGGTTCAAGCCCTTTCAAATACTTCAAGAATTAAATTTAAGTAGGGATAATAAGTAAAGCTGATTTAACTCTTTAAGAATTCCAGACACTGCAAGTGTTACATTTCCCATTGTTATATAAATGGATGGCATGTGTATCAATGAATGAGTAAGTCAGTGAGTCATGTTGGTGTCGTTCCAACATGAGGTGTCGTTAAATGGGGACTTGAAGAATAGGAGAAACCAGAAAAATACAAGAAAAACACAAACACATAAATAACAGATGGCTACAATGAAAAAAAAATCCATCCCCCCCGTGTGGTCATCATGTTATTAAAGATTTAGTCAACAATCACCTTGATTTTTTTGGACAGAGAACCGAGAGCAGCATAAGTAGAGGGTGTTAGCAAAGACAAAATTTGACTAGGACCCTAGTGTGCCCAAAATTGGCTCATTAAACTCAACCACCCACTTACACTTTGCCAACAGTGTAAGGATGTGTTCAAAAAGAAAAAGAAATATGAAGAGAAAAAAAATAATCCATGAGCAAACTGAGGAAAGAAAAAAAACAACAATGGAAGACAAATGGATTTCAAGTCGGAATAAGCAGTAAAAAAACCCCAAAAAAACAAACAAAAAACAGGAAGCTGGGGAGAGGTGACCGACAAGCAAGAGCAAGACAGATGAAACAAAGAGGTGACTGAGTAAAAAGGGGAAAATGGATGAGCAGAGAGTTAAAAATAAAACAAAGGGATAACTCATGCTCCAGCACGTCCGCTCGTCACACTGCTCTGGGCATTCATGCCAGCCAGCTGTCCTTTTGGAATAAGACGGCTCATTTGTGATATATAATAAATCTGAAGATGCCATTACAGCCCATTCATTGGGATGCACACGACAGGCTGTCCAATAAGTCAAAGGGATTAGGTTTCTGTTTACAAATGGACGGTGCATGCTTAAAAACAGCAATGATCACCTTTTCTTCGGTAGGTGGACTCATTGACTAACAGTAGAAACTTTGGCTACTTGACAAAATACGTTTTGAAAAAACCAAAGCAACTGAGAAATGAACAGAAAAAAAGGCTAAGCATTAGCATCTAAGACTTTCAGTCTTATAAATGAGATAACTGAGATGACTGAACATATTTGAATTCCTTTGTGCAATAATACAGAGAAAAATATCTCACACAAAAGAGTTGGTCTCTAAAATGGATAAATAAGGTTTTTTTTTGCATCTAGTTTGTGTTGCAATTAATGGATGCTAACCTTCCAGCCGACATGTTTCAGCTGGAAAACGACGTATCCTTTTAAATCCTTCTATTTATTTTTAAAACCTGCAAACTGTGAGGCTTTTCTGACAGCATTTCTTTGACATAATTTGTGCTAACAAGATTCAGTTTGTCTTTGATTTTTATTTGTTTTGTCAGTTAACAAAACAAAACGCTTTTGTATTTCTACCCTTTTAAAGAGTAATAATTTTTGCTTGATCTCGTTTACTTTGTGTTCTTGCAACCGTGAGTCAGATGCACACAGATTTGCAAGTTTAGGTGAGTCAAAAACCTGCACCACATTTGACCTTGTTCACCCAAGCAAGTGACATTACTGCATAGCTTTAAATATAAAAACATGTACAGAAGCATTTTAAAAAATATATAATATTGTATAAGGTATAAGACATTTAAAGTCTTTATGCTAACTTGGCAAATAGCCTACAAAATGTATCAAATACCAGCTGATTTAGGAAAAGGAACTTCTACAGCTTAAAAAACAAACAAAAAAAAAACATCCACCCACTGATTTTTTAGTTCATAGAGTTTCTGCCAGATGGAGACAATCAATTGAACTTTTGACATAGACATATAGGTACAAAAATAGAAAATCAGAGGAATTCATTTCATGAATTAAATGTGGCTTACAGATCATGTCTGTCAACACCCTCTACAAGGTGTGAAAGTCAGAAAAAAGTACTGAGATTGCAGTTTCCAAGCAAATTTATGAAAAGTTCATGGATGAAAATGTATGGTAGAAAAGGGGCGTAATTTCTGTGTTAAAAAATCTATTTTATGCTCTTATTCATCTAAAGAACTGAATATTTCAATTTCACTTAAAGGTTCTGCTGTCCACAACAAGAAATCATATCTTTGGTTTTAGGTAAAAATAAAAATCATGTATAAGAGACTGTTGGTTTTACAAATGTATTCCTCCTCTTTCTCCTTAGAAGTTACCAGTTCTGTATTTTTTAAACGCTGGCAGCAAGCTGAATTATCTAAACATTGTTTAGCTACAAACATTCCTCTTCAAATTGTATGTCATTCCTAAAGATGTTTACATGAAAACGTAAAATTCATGCAGTCACTGTTGTTCCATATTTGATCTCTACATTGTAAACTTACAGTTCGTTGATTATGCATCATTGGACCACACTGAGTGCAACAGCTAAGCTCACCTGAACAAGAAGTCTGTTGGATTTATGGTGTAACAACACAAGTAAAAATTCATCTATGTTGGTTTTAGTTAGGCATTTCATTTACAAAAACCTCCTACCCAAGGCTGTGATGTGAACTTTTGTTCTATAATTTTGCAAAGAATAATTTTAAAGGCACAATTCTTGAAATGCTGAACAAATTACCTCAAGCTCTGTTTCAACTCCCCATACCAGGAAAATTATAACATTTCCATTGTAAGCAGCTGTTGGACAGCTGAACAGTGTGCCAATTATGGCTAGAGATTTTATGAGCCTTAAATGTGGAGGAAATGTCATTTCTTAGAAAAGGTATCAACTAGGATGGCTTTGTTACAGATTTACAAAAAGTACCAAGAAAAATAATATGACAAAAATGAAAATTTCATATTGATTCTCCTAGTCCTCTTTTACAGAAAATCATTTCATCCATATGAGCTGTCAAATACCAGTGTGCTGATGATTCATTGCTTTATTATAAGGCTCTCATTACTCAATGAAAAAATACTCCAAAATATCTAATCCCCTGCTGTTTGACCATAAATCTTCAGACAAGAATCTTCACAAACGAAATAAAGGTCTTGGATGAATAGAACGGCAAAAAAAGACACACCAAGCTATGCTATTATATTTCAGACTGCTGAAGTCAAGCTGTGCAATGGTGAGTATGCACACTGTTCAGTCAACTGAGAAACTTCCTCTGATATCCAGCCTGTAGTACAAGGTGAAGCTCTGCAGCCATTATTTTTACAAGTAAAATCTGAAAAGGTCCTGCAGATTTTGCAGCCTTTCATCACTTATTTGTTATATCAGCCCAAAATTTCACCAGTTTTGGGGATTTATTTATGCACTGGTCTGGAATAACCAGGAAACGTAGGAGCCCATCACCGGGCTTTAGCAACAAAGCGATTGTTTTCCATTTTCGACACTCGGTCGAAGTTTTACTAGTGTGTTTGGTGATCATTGTGCTGTTGGGTGACCCATTTTGGGTCAAGGTTCATCTGTTGAGCAGATGGGCTCACTTCTGACTGTACAAGACTTTGATCCACATTGGAATTCATGGGTCAGTGACTCACTGACTACAAAGTGCTCAAGTCCTGAAATATAAGAGAAAATCACTCTCCTACCATACAGTGACAAATATCAAATATCAGCACCAGAAAACTAAATTTCCAACAGCCAGTTCCAAGTGTGCTTAGGTAGATGTACTTTAAACTGGTTGAGCACGTTGCAAAGTCCCTGTATTTACCAAATAAATATTCACAGGTAAATTGCAAGTATTGTTTTACAGGAAGCATAATGAAAGACTCGCCAGGGCTGCTATGATCTGTATTTGACAGACAATGGCTGTCTAAACAGGAATAGAACAGCATAGCCAGTCACGTAATAAACATGCAACACAGAGAATTCTGACATAATAGTGTTGGATAATGACCAATTAAGATTTCACATTCTTTGTGCAGTTTCCTGTTGTTCAAATCATGGGGATAATTTAAAAACAAAAACAAATTTAAAAGAGATGGCTGCTGCTCAATTGATCTCAAACATTGAAATACCCACGTCATTCTCCTGCTAACCTTTATGAACTTGAGTTTAAGGACTACAACGATGGCAACCTTTGATATTATCTCAGTTTAATACAATCGTCCAAGTTAATGCATCCAATTATTCAGTAATTGAATGTTAGTCTAAAATGATAGGTGAAAAACATATTTTATTTTTAAAAAAAATCTAAAAATTAAGCTTAAAAGAAAATCTCAAACTACAAGGTTGAACTAGTTTGGACAATACCTTCCTATGCAATTCCATTCAGTTCTCATCTCCGTCTGGGATTTGGTCCATTGAATTTCTGGATTTCTCAGGATGCATTTCATCTTGGCCAATCAGCAAACAGTGCAGAAAATCAATGTCTTCATTTGCAACTCCTTATGTTTTTAAATTGTAGTCTGCCTACTGTTGCAATGGCAGCAGAAGTGAAAGGCATTAAGGGTGTGTTGGCCACGCTTCCAAATATTGCGCAATTAAAGCCGGAGCAAGAGGAATGCTTAAGACATTTTATTGCAGAAAAAGATGTTCAGCTCAGCACTTCTCTTTTTGGAGTGGGGAATGGTTATTTACAGTGCAATTTCCAGTAAACTCCAAAGCATAGCTTCCTTCACGGTCAAACTAAACATTTTAAACATTACAACCAAACACTAGGGCTTGGTAAAATCAACTCCAATCCTTTCAAATATCACCAAAGTTCACAAAGCAAAGCGTAGAAAAAGGGTCTGGTTTTATTCCAGGCAAAGGTTGAAAAAAAAATCCCTGAAAATTGAAGCTTGTGAAAATTAAAATGTATGCCCTTCAAGGACTACAAAGCTGAAACTAGTGAGAAATGATTGAAATTGCATTTCATCACTAGTTTTTGTCGTGTAATTAAAGTTCCAATAAATGTATCAATCTATTTCTATTTATTATGAACATATAAATTGTGTTTTATATGTTCATGGAAGCACCATTAATGTGTCTTTTTGTTTTGAAATCAAATTAATGAGGCAGATTAAAAGCATTTTTCATTCATCCCTATGATAATTGTACATTAATTAGCTTTTCCACTGTAGAATGATTTACACAATAGAAGGAAAATCCCTTGCTTAAATATTGGATGGTTGTTACATCAATGAAAAAAATAAATAAATAAAAAAAAACGTTAGACGTGTTTGCCTCACCTTACTGCAGCTGTGGTGGAGGACATCATTGTAGAGAGTGCCTGTCTCCCAGTTCTTGATCTTTATGAAGCGAGGGCATTTGGAGGGGCTGCCATTCTGCACCGATTTAATGGGTGAGATCCTGCCCTGGGCTGTAGACTGCAGAGAGCACACAAAGATGTAGATATGCATTAGTCACAACTATAACTACTCTAATAGGTTCTGACCCTTGTAACACTTGCAGTGCTGGCTGGACGTGTCGTTTCTCACCAGGTGTCATATCGAGAAAAGCTGGAAGGTGCCACAGCCAGGAAGCGAATGCGAGTGAAGCTTATGACAGGAGAGTTAGGGTGAAGATAACAAGCATTATCCAGAAGTGTTTCACCACGCAATCAGCTTGGACCCAAGCTCTTTCTTCTCAAGGAAAATTGTTATGCATTGTGTTCAAGATCCTCTCACACAGGCTTATGAAAGCAGAGCCCATTGCAGAAACCATTCACATTCTTACGCTCTTCCAATTCCGTTTTATTTTCTACTCCAGGATAAAGGCAATCAGTGCGAAACCGTAAGTCGAGGGTGAGCCAGTTCTCACCTCATTGAGGTTCTCAAGCTACTGACTGATCAATGAAGGCAATTTAACCCCAAAGTCGCCTGTAAACGTTCCTGGAGAAAAGCAGCAAGTGATTGCCAAAGATCAGAGTAATCAATGGCACTCTTTAGAAGCTCTTTCATCATCTCCCACGGCATTGTTAATTACACAGTTTTGAGCAACAGGGACATAATCATTATGCTTGCTGGAGAGAATGCCAACAGTGTTCACTGGCTGAGTCTTTTTGTGTTTTATCAAATTGCAAAAAGGAGTCTGGAGCTTTGAACAGTACATATAAAGACGTTTTTTGTTGTATGTTCAGTCTCATACAGCAGCCAAGACTCACTGCGCAGCTAAACAGTGACACATGATTGACGCTGAAGTTGAGGAAGAATTTAATGTTCCACAAAAAAAAAAAGAAAAACTTTTTGCCAGAACTCAAAAACGACTTTTTGAAACAGAATTTCTTGACAGTGACACAACGTATGGCTGCTGATTGACTGAATGGTAACTTTGGCATTAACGTTTGAGATTTTAGCAGATTCCCCCCCCCCGACAAGAACAAGTTTTGAATGTCAGCGTACTCTTTAAATTTTATGCCTCGGTACTAATGCACATTTTAAATGTCAAAATAGAAGAACTTCAAAAGAAAAGGGAACATAATTGGCAGCTATAATAAAAAGGGAAAAAAATCAAAAGAGATCATCTTATGCTAAGTTTGTAATTCTTAATCCAGGAGATTTGAGAAAAAAAATGGAGGTGGAAGTAGAAGAGCTTGATTTGCAAAGTTTTCCATTCGTTTCTTAACTCAAGATGGAATTTTCCAATCAGAAAATCTGCAACATTTCATAAATCGTACAAACACCAACCTTAAAATTCAAATATAGCTGCCTTGAATCCAGATTCATTTGTAAAATATCTACCAGTGAGAGTTTTGTGCCTAACACCAGTAAAATGCATCTTGATACTTTAATATCACCTTGTATCCACCTTATTCTTAGCCCCCATGAGGCTTTGCGTGATTTATGGACACAACTTCCGCCGCAAACCGGAACCGCAATTTATTTAAATGTTAGCGACTCGCTAACCAGCTTTTGTCAGAGGTTTTAGGCTCCAAAATATATGTGAACACCAGCCATCACAGCTTAAATGTGGCAATATTGTTTTACCGCTACATACCGTTACTGCGGAGTGGGATGGTGACTTGGAGAAACGGCCGTAAATAACCCGCACTAGCATATTCACCTACTTCACCGATTCAGTTGCTTTGGATGCAGATGCGGGTTTCCTTCCGTTGGCTTTTTATCCACACAAAGAAACGAGCATACGTAAAGCATTTTGGGTTCTCTCTTCAACTTTTGAATTTTTAGCCAAATTGTTGTTGTTTCCTTATCTGTCGGTAGGCGACGAAAACTACCGCTTTTGTTTTGGGAGCACGTTCAAAATACACTTGCTGTAGCCACAAATTAAACTTAGTCTGATTATTAAAACGGACAGCACAACAGTTATCTGAGCTTCTTCTTCTTGTCGGTTTTACTGGCGGTTGCTACATCATATGCTACTGTTAGTAGCATATGATGTCTATGATACTGCCACTTACTGGTATGGAGTGTGGTTCGTGATGGTCTAAATATATATATATATATATATATATATATATATATATGTCATTTCACCATTGATTTGCAGTAACACTGAGCAACGGAGGTTCTGGTTGTGATGGACTAAATAAACCCCGGATATTTTATTTTGTCTTATAAAAATGTATTGCTGGCCCAAACGTGATAAAACAAACAAACAAAAAAAAAAACACTTGCTGCAGCCACTTCATGAACTTTGTTTTTTGTAAATTCAAACGAAAAATAAAATTCACATCACACCAAGCTAATATTATGTAGTTGTTTTACACTTTCGGTGCAAAACGGCAGCTCAGAACTCTGTCCAGCTTCTCTGCTTTTCTCTTCTTTATTACTGTCAGCTCTTCAGAGAAACGAGCTGCTAGCAGCGCTGCTAATTAAGTGTTCCGTTACAAAACGTAACGATCGTGTTCCTGTCGCTCCCCATTATTAAACTCACAATTACGATCCTTTGTACTGAGCATCTCTCAGATAGCAGAGATGCTATCTGAGAGATACAGGTTTTACTAAAAACTGCACAATAACCGAAAAAGATGAAACTTCTATCATGAATATAGATTAGCAAAAAACCCTACAAATTTTACAGTGAAATACTGCTACTTCCGGTGGGCGCCGGAAGTAAGACCCATAATAGTTTCCACAGTAACCCTCCCAGGCAGGAATAAGGTGGATTGCTGAAAGTCAGCAATAGAACATACAAGAAAATGGAAGTTGACAGACTTGTGTCTAGATCCCTGTAAAGTTGACTGTGACATTTTCAATACTAGCAAGCTCAGTTCAATTCACTTTAGAGGTCAAAACTCAGAGCAACTTATGGATGTGTGTGTGGTTTGAGAAAGGTTAGTATTCTTGGTGAGGAGTATAACTAACAGAAAGGGTAAGAGAAATAAATACTCTTCACAACAAGTATTTTTTAATATGTTGTACAGCAAGACAAGTTCTAATCTTTTGCAAAACAACTTATTTTTTACACCATAGCTTCCATTTGAGGTGTGCAGGTGTTCTATTATGCACATCGATTTGAAGGTGTACTTGTCTCAATAAGTTTTGAGGTTTGAACTTTGACTCTGCCATCGAGACATACAGGTCATTTTATGTTGAAGGGCTAGCGATCATTTACCCAGACTGAGCCAAGTTTTAGCTGTAAGGTCAGGTTTCAACACAATTGAGTCGAATAGGCCTGATATTCAAAACCTATCCTGATCACCAGTAGGAAGTCTTATGTAATGCAAGACAAATTAATTCTGCCATTTTCTTTTTAAAGGTGAAATTGGCAATCACTCAAAACATGACATACCTGTTCAGGCCTTTTCCATTGTCGCTGTCATAAAGTTGACATGTTAGGTGAGCTTGGTAAGGTCTGACATGTTTAAAGAACTGCATATTATGTCAGTGTACAGAGAAAAAGGTTTAAAGTTAGAATCAAGCCACAAACTGATGGTATTTTTGTCATTTACTTGTAAATAATGCAGGAATTGTGTGACAATTTGCTAAAACAGCTCTATTCCAAAGTTGTGATCCATCAATTATAAATGAATCTGTATGTCCACACCTCTGTGAGGCTGCAAGCCAAATGAATAAATGAAGAGTGAACATCAACTGCTGGATGAAAATAAATTCTGACCACTGTAGGTTTTTTTGTATTTCTCAACTCAAAACAGGTCAATCTATCAGAAGACTATTTTATATTTCCTTTATCTAAATGATCCGGTCCTCCCTCCTGCCTCCCATCAGATTCAAATCAACATATATCAATGTCAAGAATGAGATATGGGTGGAAAACAGAGGATCTGCTGTACAAGAAATGACAATAACAGCTAAACTGATTAAGAGAATGTCATGATGGAGCATAATTACCAAAGTATTTGAAGCAAACGTATTTATGCAGTAAGCGTTCCACCCATCAATTAAAACATCTGATGGGAAATTGAGATTGTAAAATATTTATGCACTTCTTAGGATTTAAGGAAAAAATAAATAAATAAAAGATTGTGAGGTACATTTTCCTGCTTCAGTGACTTCTTCAAGCAAGTGCCACCAGAAATCTGTGATAATTTTACAGAACAATCTGCTGTCATAGTTTTGCAGAGTGATTATATATTAATCATAATGGAGGAGAAACTCAGGTTGAAGATTGAAGAACAATCTCTTCCCACAGAGAGAAAACTGAATCGCGGCTGAGCGCGTCATCTAAAATTCTGGCAGCTTAATAAATTAGACATGCAATTTTCTAAAACCACTAACTGTTCAATAAGATTTTCTCTGGAGTAATATTTCTCATTTATGGTTTTGTACCAATTATGTTCCCCAAAATGCACATTTCAAATCTTCAGGTTTGAGCAAAAACGTTTCATATTAAATTCACCTCTGAGGTCAGTTTGCCATTCAAATCTGTTTTTGTTTTTTCTATGAAAAACAAAACACATATTCCAAAAGAATCTCCATTCTGTTTGTAGGTCTGAAAGAATTGATTAATCAAAGAAAAGGGTTCATTTGATAGGAAGAACTCGTACTGCAGCTGCATGTATTCATTAGGCCTACTGGAAATATTCCACCCCATCCGGTTGCATTGATGAAGCCTCGAGAAGCGTTACAATTGTGCGGATAATGCGGGCTGTGTGCAGATTACGACACTACCCACATCACTGAGACCGATGATGAGATCCTTCTGTGTGGAAGGTCAGATTTAACACTGCAACAAATCATCAGAAAAATAAAATGCAGAGGTGATTGGATCAGCAAACAGCTTGCCACCTTGTGCAGAGCTGCATGATAAAGACATATCCCTATTAAAACACATGTTTTAAATTGTAAAAACATGTGTTGAACTTCGGCTGTGGATGGGAAGGTGAAGTCCTACCCTGGTGTAACCTTTCATTGTCCTTACTAAAGAAATGTATCCCAACAGAATGATGCTGCCACCACCATATTTCTTTCAATAATGTTTTTTTTTGCAACTCTTCCATAAAGAACAGAATTGTGATAAGTATGACTAACATTTGTCTTCTTAACATTTTTATCCACCTGAGCTCTGGATCTCCTCAGCTCCTCCAGATGTACCAATGTCCTTTTAACCACTTTTCTGATGAATGTTCTCCTCTTCTAGCCTGTTATTTAAAGTTGACAGTCATGTCTTGGTAGGTTTGCTGTTGTGCAATTATTATTATTTTTAGGTTTAGGTTATTTTAGGTTTATTTAGCAATAAATAAAACTAAAATGTATTGCTGTTGTGCAATAAATTCCCCCCCCCATGTTTGGCAGATGGACTGAGGAGTGCTTCAGATTTGGGACATTGTTTAGTAACCCAAATCTGTTTAAGCTTCTTCACAGCTTTATCCTTGACATGCCATGTTCCTTTTTTCTTATGGTTCTGTTTATTCACTAATGCTCTCAAACAAACCTGAATGCTTCACTGAACAGCTGGATTTACACTGAAGTAAAACTACACACATCTGCATTACATTTACTCATTAGGTGAGGTTTGAAAGGAACTGCCTGCACTGTATTTGGTGATGTCAGTGCGAACTGAGGTGGTGGGATGAATCCAACTGCCTCCCACACTTTATTCGTAAAAATATTTACAAATAAAGTGTTTCCTTCTCCTTCTGCTTCACAGACATGTACTAGTTTGTGTTATTCTACTGCATGAAATAAAATGCACAGAAGTTTGCAGTTATGTGACAAAATGTAAAAGAGTTATAAATAAGACACTGTATCAAAGCCTGGCCAGAATTAAACTGCAGTACAGACAGACAAATGCAAAGAAAAAGCAATTGTGATTTGTGGGTCATTCAGACCTAATTTGGATAAACTTATTTTCAGATTGTTTTCATTTTTAAAGCATTGCTATTATTTTAACATGCCGTTTTAGTTGTACTTTTCTTTTTTTTTTTTACCTTGTCAATATCAGCATTGTGGTCTGCCACTGGCACGTGATCCAACATTCTGTCATTATCCGAACCCAGCTGGATGGATGTCTCATTTCCCACACCGAGGTCCCTGGAAGAGAAACCCAATTTTCCATCAGGTGTGTGCACTCTGATCTTGCACAAGGCACTTTCATTTCAATTTAAAAATCTCACAAAAAAGCAAACCCTGACAATTAAAAGCACACACAGACTGTAAACACTCAATTTTGGTTTTGTGGACACAAGACTGTTTGCTCACCGACGCTATTAAAATCATGAAAGGTTTCTGTGTCTAAAAGGTAAACCTTAAACAGGATTGTCTTTTCTAAAGTATACAGGTGCACCGATTTGTTTAGTACTACAGGTAATGCTAGTTGTGGATTATTTAAGCAACTATGTGGCAAAACTAATCAAGCAAATTCTAAGAAATGCAAACTTAAATCCTGATGACTCTTAAATAGAAACACTGAACAAACCAAGAGGTGTAAAAATTACAATAGGGAAATATTACAAGTGAAGAAGGATTGTGCAAAATTGTGAGATATCTCAATCTGAGCTGCGAGAATGAGATTGTGGGTGGGATTTGGAGCTGCCACCACACTGAAGAATACAGGACTTGGGGGGGAAAAAAAACAAAAAACTAATCTCCCTGTTCAAGTTTGGTTTCCTCCATTCGAAAACGCCCACACACATTTCGCCTCCTACAGTCTTTCACACACTCAAGCCCCCTACCACCACCCCGCCCATCTTTCCTTGCCATCGCCATGAGCACGTGTCCGTGCCAATTGTAAATCCTCATAGGCATCCTTTTTCTCGTTCACACTTCCTGTCACATTCCATCTCGTTATTGCCACAATTTGGGAAAGCATATTCTTTCCGACGCTGCAGAGTTGGAGTTCAAACGGGCTGAAACAATGGGAGAAGTCGCATGTGTCATTTGCGATTACTGCTGACTGACGCAGAGCATCATCTGCCTGACGTGGAGCTGTGAAAATATACCTCCTTCTCTGCTGAAAACAAGCAACGGCCATTGTTTGGCGCTTTTCTGCTCCTGACAATAGGTCTTTAAAAGCTGATTCCAGAAATGTTACTGTGGAAAGATTACCCGGAAATACATTAACATTTATGTTAAAAATAACCAAAAATTTTTTTATGTTTATTTTCAGTTGAGATCTTCATCAGAAACCAAAACAGTTAAAAGATAACTTCTTCTGATTGCTGAAACGTACTCTTTGGTGACTTGATAGTGCATAAAATGTTGATTTTGGCATGCCTTGTTACACACTCAGACCACAGTTGTACTTTTGAATGAGGAGGTTTGGCTTTAATGCATCTGTTTTTGCTGAGTATTTCCTGTACAACCCTTGTCATTACTGCAGAAGATCCCAAAGGGACATGCAGATATTCAAATTATCTTATTTTTTTTCCACCTTGACTATACTTTTGCAATTATAGTGAATGACTTAAAGTACTTATTTTTTAAGATCATATTGTGTATTGTTAAAAAATTTGTTGATTGAGTTACGGTTTCATCAGGAAGAGTCAACGATCAGAAGTATCAAACATAGAAGGGCCAACATAAGGTCAACTAGTCAAAATGAGCATCAAAATCACAATAAAGAGAAATGGAATTCAAGATAAAGCCTTTAGGAAAAAATATGCAGAGATTTGAAAATGTCATGATTATTTATCCCCCCAAAGTGTCATGAAAAGTTTTATGCATTGGTGATCTATGTGAAAGTAGATGAGACAAAATGGCAATATGAGGGGACAAAGTAGGTATAAATATTTGCAAAAGATTGAACTGAAGTCTTTTTATCATCCATCAAAACATACAACTCAAGAATTACTTCATTTTATCCTCTAAAATAGGAGTCTCAAATTTTATATTGAATTTAAAACTTACTAATTTTCATATCCAAGGCTCATAACAACTTGCACTTGCTTTATTAGACAGTCACATGCTGGAAACAAGGCTGGCTTTGCTATGAAAAGAAATCTAGTGGCGTTTTCATATCCTTATACCCTCTGAGCACAACGCATGTTTAAAAATTGTAAGATGGCTTTTCACAAAGTTTGTTTTGGACAGGCCAACTTCCTAAACCCCAATTATTTCAGGGTTAACCATTGAGGTCTGAGGCCAAACAAGAAGCAGGAGGATTTCTTAAGAATAAGAAAGTTAAAAATAAATTTAAGTGTGACTTTGCAAAAAAAAAAAAAAAAAGATTATTCAGAATGTTAGACTTTTAGCTTGTTGGTTTGAACGCCTACAGAGTAAAAGCTTCCACAATCTGTTCTTTAATCCTGGAAATGGTTTCTGACCCAAATAGGAGTCATGTGCTTACTGTCTGTGTAACACATAGTGACTGATGTTGCAGAAGAATCAACTAATTCCATCTCATGCTGAACACAATCAAGAGAATCCCTTTACTCTGACTTACCACAAGGGTAAAGAAAACCAGCAGTGCACATATTTTTAGGGTTTAATTTGCAAGTCTGATCAACTTTAGTTTTGCTGCAGAGAATTTTATAAAAAGACTGTCATTCAACCTCAAATTACATTTTGAAATAGATTTTAAAATGTTTCGGTGCCTTCTTGAAGGTTAGTTGTCATTTTTGGACCCTGTAAATAAAGACCAATCTTAACCACGTCATCTTACACCTGAATACCATCTGATTGTTAGTTTTCAACTGTGGTTGTATCCAATTCATCTGAAGCTACTCAAAACATAACTCCTGTATTTGTGTGCTATGCTGTATACCTATCCACAGAAATCAACAAATCACTTAAAGTATATTTATGATGGACAAAAAGAGTTTCACTGGTGGATAAAAAAATGAGATATTGACCAAAAGCAGACTGCAGCCTCAATGTGATTTCACTGTGTGGGAGCAGATAGCTGATATGTCAATAACAGAAAACTGTGCAGACCATTTAGGCAAAGTCAAACATTGATTTTCGTTACTTTTTCCTGAAGGATCTTGTGAAACCTTGTCCCAAATGAGTACTTAAGCTTACAGTACTTCAAGTATTCTACAGTTAAGTGCAACCTTTATGACCGTCTGGAAAATATTCCTGATTAAATTTTCCTCGTAGGACATCCTGGACAACTGAACTAATGCCCTGACATTTATCTACTGAATTCCTCCAAGCTGTGAATTTTAAATCTCTCACAAGCTGACAAAAAAACCCTAATATACTTACTTATGCAGGACACTAACATATCTCATGCAAATTATTTCAATTCTGCCGTGCATTTCAAATTTGTTGGATTTTGCCACAAGCCTCACAATTAAGGGAAAGCTGCCAAACTGATGCAAGTCATTTAATGGAGCCATCGTAGTTGGCTTAGTGAATCAAGAAAAGCAGCTGACAAATATATTCCAAATACTGTCACTTTAAGTGGGGTTTACTGGAGGCCAGCATGCAGACATGAATTATGTACACCACTGTACTCTGAGTCATAGTACTGACAGCCTGGATGTAACAGCTAATGCAACACAGATGTGCCAGGCTGTTCAGAGACTGGATGGTGACAGAGTGAACAGGAATTCTTTCTGAAACCAGACCAGGTGCAGGCTCTTGTGTAAGCCAATAACATTTCCCCCACAAGGGTTTCACTTCTAATTCTGACTGGGCTCCAACTCCAGTCATCAGCTTGGAGGGGAATAAAGGCAAAAGACAGTTAAATTAAGGGATCAATAATGACTTATCACTTTAGAAATTACCATGCCACTTGAATCTCTGCATCTCTTCTCCCGGCATTCCGCTGGCCTTCACCGTTAATCTCCTTTTTGCTGTTTTTGATGAGATGCAACACCGGCTCGATCTCCTTAAGCAGGTCGTTGTTTTCTTCCAGCCCGTTGCACAGCAGTGCTCCGCGGCCCCCGTCCTGGCCCTGCATCCCTCCCCTCTGCAAGAGCGTTTGAGTGATGGAAGGAGAGGACAGGTTTTCAATGGCCCTCAGCTGGGGCTCCTTGTGGAGCTGCTGCCCGGTGCTGTATGCACTGACAGGGGACCACTGATCGAAGGACTTTGAGGATGGGAAGGCAGGTCGGGTGATCCTCACCGTGCGCTGGCGGCCGTCTCTGGTCAGGGTGGTCTCCAGGTGGGTGGTAAACCCTTCGGGCCCTCGGAGGATGAGCACGGCATGGCTCTCAGGCGACACATTTTTCAAAGTCTCCAACGCTCGCTCATATGAAAGGTCTACCAGGGGTTTGTTATTGACGGCTAGCACTATGTCGCCCACCTGCACCAGGCCACACTCTTCTGCTGCTCCGCCGCGAATCAAGTCTGACACAATGACAGGCGGCTTGGACACCCTCTGCTTCACCAGGAAGCCCAAACCACCAACCTTCCTCTTGAAAAGGCGCACTGAGATGATGTTGGGCTGCAGCTGGCAGACTGTGGGCTCCGACTCCTGCATTGTGCTTGTGTGTACGTGTGACTTGTGTCTATGTGTTCACTTGTACCGTTTCCCCCAGGAATGTTTCTGAAAAGAGGAAACAGAAATGCTTTTAGTTAAACTGATAAGTCAGTCAAACGGGTACAGAAGTTATTAAAGCTGGTAGCCAGAACTTTATGTAAAATCTCACTCTATATATTTTCATCTAAAGAACAAGGAGCAAATCGGGGGGTCAGGTGGCTTTTTTGATTTTGTTTGGATAATTTACAATAAATATAGAATCCACATACATATGGCTGATTACATCACATAAAACTGACTGGCTATTTTAAGCCATTTGTGTATTTTCCATTTTTCTCTTTACAGGATTTAATTAAAATCTCTCATACAGAGAGACTTACGCATTCTCTCCAGCTTCAGTAAAATATTTAAGAGATTTGCATGATGTGAGAAAATTGAATGGATTTCTGAAAGTGATTTGGAAGAATGACCAGGGCAGACTTTAGGGGTAGGAATCAATTATCAAAGTTCTTTAGAAATCATCTCAAGTCAGTTTATATGTTGCATCAAGATCATTTTCCCAAGTCTAATATTGCTTCCTGTAGAATCACCATAGCAGCCACTGCTATAGAGACACAGCTGCAAAAAATGGATTCTTAATTTAATACCTATTTAGTGCTCATCAATGCCTGCTCAAATGGTCTTGTGACTCTGTGTTTGTTTTTTTGTTTTTTTTGTAAAATCATGTGGTGAAAGTGCATCCTTTATTACCCATGTGTATTTTTAGCACCATAACACATGTATTAATAAGAAAAACAAAAATTCAGACTATGATCTGTAGCATGGTTTGCTCTTAGGAGAATTATCTTGCAGGTAATGTTCTCAAGCAGTAGTTACAATCTATTAAAACCTGTTTATACCTCTGCACACTGAGGGAACTGCATTAGAACAGATGCATTTATCAAATAATTTGAAAAGCAAATATTTAGAATATTGTAAATACATTCCAGATTATTTCTATTTGGAAATCTCCACAACATTCAATTACTTGCCGCAATTATGCTAAAGAGCATTAGTAATTTGGATACAAACATAACATCCTAATGAGGCTTAAACAATGTTTAGAGACTAAGCAACCAATTAGTAACACTGAATGGAATCACTTAAAGAAACACGTAATAAAATGCTTTACTGCTAGATTTTCTTGGAAAGGTTTCTCAATATTTAAAAGGAAAAAGTTGTTTTTAATATAGGAAGCTAGTTGTTTCAAATAAATTTTTCCAACAACATTTTGGTGCTTTATTTGAACATTTTCTAACTCGCTTTTTATTTATTTATTTTTTTAATAAAATCACCTCACTTTTGATCAGTGGTTGTCCAAACACGCCACAAATGGCGACTGCAGTCCTTGAACTGGGCACCAGTTGTGCCCAGTTCAATTCCTGGCTTAAATGCTAGTTAAAGGATACATTTTAAAATCTGATTATTGGTCAGTAAAGCACTAAATGGTTTTGCCACTAAATCTATATGAACCTGAATGAACCTGCTACATCTCTTAGAGTTTACTCAACTTTCAGACCTTAAAGGGGGGCCAAATTTCACTTATCTGCTTCTCCGGTCTGGAGCCAATTCCCTACAAACCTGTTACATGGAGCAACTGTTGGGTACCTTAAAATAGGAAAAGCATTACAGTTGACTGTGTTTTCTCATATTCTGTAAAAGATTTAATGAATTCAGTTTTAGCTTTTTTGTCTAAAAATGTGTACAGTTAAGCTTCTGTTTTCCTGATGATTAAAAGGTTCCATTTTGTCATTTTTCATCTTTATTATAATTTTCCTTTCCTCTGTTCCTTTGTTTTCTGAAGAGCACTTTAAATTTGGATCCCGTTTATGAGGCTGCAATACAAGTGAGCCTTGCCTTTCAGAATCATAAACGGGCCTCTCTCAAGTGACCTAACCTCCACATACATTTTCATAGCTCTCCAGTCTACTAGTAAGTTTCTCTAGTATGCTCATGGTTTCAAAGTAAATGGAATTGATCCATCCATTTTTAAATTGTTGTATAGCCCGCACCCACTGTATAGATCTACACCACTCAGACCATAGTGTCAACAGATCTTTTTTTCTCTGAATCGAGGAAAACATGAAACCCACACTTTATACATCAGATACCAGAATCAATAATACAACATTCAAATCATAGGGGGAATAATATAAATTTTACTGTGACATTGATGCACATGCTCCAATATACTGCAATGCCCCAGCAAATATCCCTGATTACTTTTTACCAAATTTTTATGCCTAAACAATTGTCCAAAGCAGATTACTGGAAAGTTTGTCAATTACTTAGAAAACATAATCAAATAAAGAAGCACTAAATGCTTGTGCATATCAGATTGTGCTGTAAAAGCAGCTCTATTAAAAAATGTTAAGGTCACAAGTTAGCCCAAATGTCTGTTCTACCTCTAAATGGGGATAAAGTTTAGAAAACCATAATTTGTACTGAAAAAACAAACTTGAAAAAAATATTTGAATGAAGTAGGAAGGTAGCAGCTGTTTTTTCCTGTTGAGGGTGTTGCTGCCCTCTGTCCAGAGGTATTGTAAGACGAATCCCCCTGAGTCACAACAGCTAAACAGACATTCACTTTTGGCTTCCAAGATCGGATGTGCACAAGTAACATCAGAGTTTTTGTCGTGCATTTTCAGATCTAGCTAGCTTTGCACCCTCATCTGCACAAGCAGCAGAAAAAAATAAAGAACCCCCCACCCCCCCACACAAAACAATATAGACACCAAAGCATATTTTCATTAGCAATCTGATACTTTTATAGGTCACAAATCAACTGTAATACAGTAAAAATTTCCATTTTAAACCGTTGAAAATGTCTGAATAAAAAGTCAATCTGAACTTTATTTGTACTCAAATGTCCAATGACAATGACATGGATACAGCATGCCTAAATTTGGCAGACTTGGATAAACATTTCAGCAGCGCCCGTTTTGTAAACACCTAAAGAAAAATATTAAATGACTACGTCTGAATTGGAAACTGCATATTCAGCTCCATCACCCTTGTTTATTTTTTTTTCTTTCTTCTGTTTAATGCAAAGCCACTTGAACGAGTTGCGGTTTTTTCATTGAAAATCTCGCATCTCACCGCGTGGGTGGCGTGCAAGGAATGTGCCGCGTGTCAGAGAAACAGGAGAGCCGCCGCTCTGCGCGCGCCGTCGGCGCACGGAGGGCAGGCAGGCAGGCACTGTGCGCGCAGCGGGAATAATTCAACACCAAGGTCAGCGCTCAGCTTATCCAGCAGTTTGTGCGCGCTGCCCATTCTCACGCCGCACTTTCAGTTTTTACAGATGTGCCACAAACATTGTCAGTAAAGTTGGTTCTGACGTCTTTCCCCACAAGCTTGTCATACAAAACAAAGTTCTGTACACACCAGTATATTCATGTAGACAAGTCGCACTTTTAGACACCAACAGCACCCACAGATCAGGGAGCGGTGTCCTCAGTTCATGCATTCAGAGGGGGGAAAAAGTGTTGTGGTGAATACTGTGAACTCTGGCTGGAATAACTTAATCTGGCGGCCCTTTAATTCTCCATATGTGCAGCTTTCCCCCCACTGAGATAAGAAATAACCAGAGACGATGAGGAAATGGAAGGTGAATGTGCTCTGAATATCGGGATCAGGGTCTTTTCTGGGAATACTGCTGTGTCTGGAAGGGACTACAAAGGGATTACGAATAAAAAATAATAAAAAAAAGAACCCCATTAACAATGTCAAGCAAATAACTGACATGGGTGATAAAGGAGCGTGAGGGGGGGGGGGGGGGGGGGGGACACAAATATGGAGTCACAAATTAGATAATTGCTATACTCACCAACATTATGAGTACAGACGACAACCCAAAGTCGTCTGTTATGTTAATTCATCATTGGTTTCATAGCAACTGGAAATCATTTCATTTCCTTCCAAACCAGGGCATTTATTTGCTCTCATAGATTGAGAATTCATGGATAGAAGAAAATACCAGTTTTCTAATTTTTATTTTTATTTATTTATTTTTATTTTTTAAAGCCAGCCAGCTTCTTGCGCCTTTTGGAGCCACAAGGTCAACTATTCTCCGTTTTCCCCTGAACTGAATTCTGTCAGTCGTTGTGTGAAAATGTGCTTTCAACATAATGTTATTGTTGCACATTGCAGCACGTGAAAAACAAAGTGAATTAATTAGCGGGATATAATTTTTAAAAAAACGGGGATCAAAGGCCATTCTGCAGAATTTCTCGCATATTTTGTTTAATCCGATCATACATAAAAAGGGGCAAGTTATTTTGGGTTCCTGTTAAGACAGCAACAACATGAACAATGCAAAGTTTCAAATGTGAACTTTTGGTTTCAGAAATGCATTTGTCGAATGTCTCACACGCAAAATATAACTCCTGGAATTGCCTGCAAATCAAAAAATAATTAAAAAAAAAATCACTCCGTATTGTTACCAATAACAACAATTACCCATGAGCACATAGACAAATATCCAAATAGATTTCATTTTTTACATGTAATTTTTCACCTAAACAAAACGCAAAAATAATTTTTATTTAAAAAAAAAATCTTTTTATTGCCGTCCTTTCTTGCGTAAGTGTACAGAAGGAGAAAAACAGGATTTTCCCCATCAATCGCAAATCTAGTGTTATTTTCATCAGCAACAAGTACTTTTGCAGAATTTGAAAAACCACACACAGAGGCAGAAGGCTGTAATTTTGCACCGTTTATATAATTTCTAGATTACTTTCATCATTCCTCATGATCAGCATCGTCATATAACGGTGGAATGCGCAGCTTAGATAAACACCGACACTGGAGGAGAGAAACAACGACAGCGGGCTGAGATATTTCAGCAGCAGGAACTTACCCCTGAGAACAAGGTCGCTGTGTCTCAACGACCTGCAGCAGTGAAGTTGGGATAAAACTCCTGCGCTCTGCTTCAGCAGCGGCTGCACAGTTCTCTCTCTCTCTGAACCAAAGCGTCTCCAAGTCGCGCCCTGCCTCTCTAGAGACGAGGCATGCTTGTGGCTCTCTGCGCGCAGGGGCGCGATTTAAATATCAAGCGACGGGAGCCTCTGTGACGAGGTTGGGAGGGAGCCGTGCGCGCGCCTTGAAATCTGCTGCAGGTGGGTTAGGTAGCCGCCATCGTCAGTGAGTGCGCAACAGTAGTCTCAACTCACATTCCACACTTTATTGGCTTCTGTGGCTTTGCAAGGAAAAGAGGAAGACAGACAAAATATTCTGGCCAACTGGGTAAACAAACATTATACTGAAAGTTCTCTAAAGCTCAAAATACTCAACTTAGTTTACAAACTTGACATGTAAAATGGTCCATTTAATTTCCATCAACCAATTACTTTAAGACTCAGTTTACAACATTCCAGTGATAAATAATAATAATAATAATAATAATAATAATAATAATAATAATAATATGGAGGGGAAACTTTTTTATTATTTTAAATACAAGATCTAAGGCATGGTATGCTTATACATTTATTCTACTTTACTCTAAAGTAAACAAAACAAAATAGTGTGCAGACAGTTTCTTTTTTTTTAAAAAATGCAGTTGGTAGATAAAGTCCTAACCTCGGTCTAAATCCAGTTTTTCTGTGAAGGCCTGGAGGTTTGCTGGATAATTGCATCATACAATATAAAACAGGATAGAATTGAGATAGTCTGATATTCATCTTGCATCACAGCAGACATTATTGACAATATTATTGTTGTCTACAGACAACAATAGGATTATTGTTGTCTACAGACAACAATAATATTGAATGTACTTTTGATTCACCTTGAATCAAAAGTACATTCAAGACGAACAGAGGACAGCATTCCACATTGAGTAATGTTCCACGTTTAGCACCAGGTTTGACTGGTGTTATGAAAGCGTTTCTCAGCTTAACCTTATTAAAACTGTGGAACCGTGCATTTTCATCCAGATGGTAACAGTTTTCACCCTGGTTCAGAGCAAGATCAGAGGCAATGTTTTTAGCTCATCACATTTTTACTTCAAAGATTCATAAAGTCTTCAAATTTTCAACCGATAAAGCCTCTAATTTTTCAGCAATGGATAGACTTTTTTATACTTTGTGACAGTAAAGGTACTGCAAAACATTTATAACAAAGGTACAGATGGTAAATCGTGACTTCTAGGTATTGATAAAACTGGAGCTCTTCCACTCAATGGGAACCTCAGGACAGTAAAATAGTCCAATGACAATTTTTGACAAACACACACATTATGTGGAGCAGCTTAAAGCAGGTTTAGTTTTACAAGACAAAAAAACTGCATACCATGTTTTATGCACCAAAGTACCCAAAGCATTTTGTATGCAATTTGAAAATTAATCAACTTCAGACTAGTCAAGACTTTGCCATGAACATAACTGAAACATGGAAGAACCTGTTCTTCATGAAACTAAAATAAACGTGTTGGTCTCATGACAGTTGTAGGTAAGGCAGAACGATACCAATACCTTGAGTACAATGTGCCCTTAGGAGTGGCTTCATCATGCTGTGTGCTCAGTACGGACAAAAAGTGTTTGGAGTAGACTGGAAGACAGATTCTGATAAATGCAGGACAATGCTGAAAGAAAAAAAAAAAACATTTTGCTGTTAATAAAAGTGACTTTTTTTTTACTTTCTACTAAATGGGCAAGTCTGACAAGAAAAACCTTGTGAAAACAACCTGATCATTTACATTTTTTCTTTTAATAGTTCATTTAATAACATTGGTTATTAATCTTATTTGGGTGCAACTTTGACATTTTAGGATTACAATTTTGGTGGAGAAAAGGCAAGAAGGTTAGAACAAGCTTAATTGCAATGAAATACACAAAAATTTCACAACTCACAGATGAGGGTTTTTGTCTTTTTAATCTAAACAGGCTAATGTAATTAGCTTTGACTTCATGGCTACAGTGGTTTGTGGTTTCCAGCTACATTGTCATCACAGATAATGTATAATCTTGAAATGCTAGAAGGAGCAAGAAGGCCTACAACCTCTTGATGGCAAAAGGTTATTTTTATTTAAAAAAAATAATAAATAAATGAAAGGGGGGTACATTTTTTCTGTTTTTGCTTGTTGCAGCAAAGACACAGGACATCTATGCACTTTGAGCACTGCTCTGAAAAATTCAAGCTTCATTCTCCTAACAGTTTTCCTAAACACATCCACAAATCGCACCTCAACCTCCTCAACCTCTGTGATTAAAAATCTATTCTATGTGGTCTGACAACTCAAACTAAGTGTTTCCCTAATAACTTTGCATCATTCACCTCGAGTAAATCACATTTTACTCAGTTATTCAACACGTTAAAAGGTCAGTGCGTCATATTATTGACTATGCCACTTCTTTTGCACAAATGTAAAAAAACTTTTACACCAATGTGTGGGGTTAATTATCTCCACACATAGTGTTCTCAAGGAAGGATCAGATTTCAAAGCAGAACAAAACAAAACAGAAACGAAAACACAGCATGTTTTGTTTTCTTCCCCTTCTACATAAGAAGAAAAACCAGCAGATTTCTAGAAACATTTCCTTGCATCTCTTTGATTCATTTTTGCTTCTCTATTCTTATTGTCCACTTTCCTTTGTAACATTTTGCCACATTGCCCACTTTTTTTTATCTTTGTGTGTGTCCATTGAAATAAACCTAAAGC